CTGGACTGCTCGGGGGTCCCGTTGCGGCCATCCATTGGATACTGCTCGGGGGGGCCTCTTGGGGCAGGCCGGGGCTACCTGGGGGGGGGCCGTTTGCGTGCAACCCGAAGCTTTATCGAGCGGGAATCCCTTGAGATCTTGGCGCCGCATGTTTTGCAACCTTCGGGCGGCAGCATCGGGGGGGCAGGAAAGGTATAGAGGGATCGAGGGATGCAGGAAAGTCGCCCCACAGGGGCCCCAAATAGTTTCTGAACTGCCGCCGCATGCCCGAAAGATGCAGGACGGGTGCGCGTTTCTTCACCCCACGTTGACTGCCCCCCCGCTAAATAGAAACACCCGAACAACGGGCGAGTTTGCCTTGCTTCGGGCCCCAGGAAACTCGCAGAGCGACCCGGCTCGAAAAGCGCCACAGGCAGAGGAGGTCTGCGGCTTCGGCCGCGATGTTTCGCGATGCTGTCCTCAGCTAACAACGTCGGGTCTGCGGGGTCTAGCGGGCCCAGGTCCCTCTTCCTTCTCCTCCTCCTCCTCCTCCTCCTCCTCCTCCTCCTCCTCCTCCTCCCCCTCCTCCTCCTCCCTCCTCCTCCTCCTGCTCCTCCTCCTCCTTCTCCTCCATCTCCCGCTCCTCCCTCCTCCCTCCTCCCTCCTCCCTCCTCCCTCCTCCCCCTTCCCCCCCTCCTCCTCCTCCTCCCCGCTTCCTCTTCCTCCTCCTCCTCCTCCTCCCTTCTCCTACAGCACGTTCTCAGGACGTTCCCAGAGCGCGCTGGAGCGGCCGCGGCGCCTGGCCACGTCTTCCAGGGCCGCCGCCTCGAGTTGTCTTGGTCCAATCTTGTCCCGCTGCCGCGTTTGTCTTGTTCGAGGCCTCTCCTCTTTGGGCCCCCATGGGGCGCCCTCGTCCTGGCCAGAAGGCACCCCTCGAGCGATGTTTGAGGCAAAGGGAGAAGGAGGAGGGAGGCAGGGAGGGAGGGAGGGAGGGAGGGAGGCAGTGAGGGAGGGAGGGATTTGCTGCGAGAACTCGCCTGGCAGATCCCTGCCACAGCCAGCCTTCAATCCAGGCGGCGGTGGATGGGGGCACACTGCAGAGGTGCCTCACCCCTCCCCGCACCACTTCTGCAGGTGCCGAGCCCCTTCACAAGCCTCAGCCTGAACTCGCCACGGCGGCGCCACGGCGGATTCCAGGGTCAGTTTCAGGAGGACCCGACTCGTTCACGCACGGTGCGCACGAAAGCGTCGCGCCTCTCCAGCCAGCTCGGGCTACGCCGACGGGCCAGCGCGGCCGCACCCGCAGCGGTGGGGAAGCCCAGCGCAGCCCTGTCTAGGCAGTCACGGAGCCTCCTGAACGGGGGGCAGCGGCTTGCCGCAGCCCATCGCCCACCAAGCCAGCTGCTCCTCCACGTCTTGGATGTGCTGGCTGATCTGATCAGGACCTCGAACCCCAGCCAGGAAACGTGCCGCCGCCACACTCTTGCGGCCGCGCCGCCCCTCGAGGCGAGAGCGGGCCTGTTGTTTGTGCGGGCCCCCACCGCACGAGGACCCCCTGCGAGTCACCGATGCTCACCTCCGCGCCGAAGAAGTGCGGGGTCCTGCCCTGGTGGCCCTCGCTGCTCACCTGGCCGCCGTCGAGCTTCAGCGGGCCGTCGATGCCGTCGATGCCCTCATGCTCCTCGAGGGCCTCCTGCGAGTCGCCGATGCACCTCCGCGTTGATGATGTACTGGGTCCTGCCCTGGTGGCCCTTGACGCACGCCTGGCTGGCGTCGAGCTTCGGCAGGCCGTCGATGCTCTCCTCCTCCTCCAGGGCCCCCAGCGAGTCGCCGAAGCACACCTCCGCGCCGAAGATGTGCTGGGTTCTGCCCTGGTGGCCCTTGATGCTCAACTGGCCGTCGTCGAGCGTCGGCATGCCGTCGAAGATCCCCTCCTGCTCCAAGGCCCCCAGCGAGTCGCCGAAGCACAACGCCGAGTCGACGATGGGCTGGGTCCTGCCCTGGTGGCCCATGATGGTGACCTGGCCGCCGACGAGCTTCGGCTGGCCGTCGAAGATCTCCTCTACGTCGACCTCCTGCAGCGTCGTCTCCTGGACCTGCGCCGTGTTCTCCTGGATCTCCTCCACGCCCAGCTCCTCGAAGCTGTCGCCCAGCTCGTGCTCGTCCCCGCTCGCCAGGCTGATGCTGTCCCGCTCCTCGCCCTCGCCGGCCTTCGGCGCGCCAGTGATGCCGCCGCCACTCGGCTCGCCGCAAAGGCCGAGGGCGAGCAGGAGCTCCTCGTCCTGCGGCCGCACGCCGTAAAGCCTGCCCCTGAAGTCCTCCAGCACTTCCTCTTTGACCACGGGCTCCTGGACTGGTCCAGGGAGGCGCCGACTCCCAGGAGGGGGCGCATGCCGCCCCCAGTTGCCGTGCCTGCAGAGCTCCTCGGCCGCCTCGACCGCCATCGTGGGGAGCTTGAAGAGCATCGCCGCGCTGAGCGCCTCGCCCATGGCGGCGGGATGCCAACCGAGGGCGTCGCCCAACTCCCAGTGGGCAGCCAGCGCCGCGCGCATCGCCTTGGTGCGCGCCGCCAGCGCCTCGGAGCGGCTCAGGCCGCGCTCATCGCGCGCCTGCCGCCGAAGCCGCCGCGCCGGCGTGCGGGCGCTGGCAACCGCCCAGCGCCGTGCCTCCATCGCGGCCTCCGGCGCGCGCCCACGAGCCCGCCGCGGGCGCGCGTCCGCGAGGGCCTCCCGTTCGCCGGCTCGCTTGAGCCAAAATGGTTACGGGAGGGAGGGAGGGAAGGAGGGGGAGGAGGAGAAGGAGGAGGAGGAGGAGGGAGGAGGGAGGAGGGGAGGAGGGAGGAGGAGGAGAAGGGAGGAGGACGAGAAGGGAGGAGGAGGAGGAGGAGGAGGAGGAGGAGAGGAGGAGGGAGGAGGAGGAGGAGGAGGGGGGGAGGGAGGAGGGAGGGAGGGAGGGAGGGAGGGAGGGGAGGAGGAGGAGGAGGGAGGGAGGAGGGAGGAGGAGGAGGAGGAGGAGGAGGAGGAGAAGGAGGAGGCATCGTGGGCCATCTTGGCCGTCTTTGGGGAAATGGTGTGGACGTTGGCGTATGTACGGGTCCTGCTGCGCGGCCGGCGCGAGCGGCCGCGACCCCTCTGGGAGCATCTTCGAGAGGACCAGAACCACCTAACGCTCGGCTTTCTGTGCCGCCCTGTGGCAAGCCGACAGGGTGTGGGGGGCCTGGCAGCCTTCGGCCCAACCCGCCACCGCGCCTGGAGTGTGGGTCAGATGCCTCTTAGATGCTGTGGGGATCTCGTAGGAGGCCTCTCGGAAGTCTCCCGGAGGCGGTTCTGGGTGTGTCGTGAGGCACGTCGGGGGCCTCTTGGGGCCTGGTTTTTGGATGTCTGGGGGGGCGGGCATTCTAGGGCTTTGGGGGGGCCTCGTGGGGGCCTGCCAGCGGTCTCGAAGGTCATCTTGGGCCGGAGGGCGCGAAGGCTCAGCTCAAGTTCTCCATCTTGTGGCCCCCTTGGGGCCCTGTTGGGCCGTCTGGGGGCCCTCGTGGGGGCATCGTCAGCAGTCTTGGGGCGACACTGGAGGCTTCTTGTCTTGTCGTCTTGGAGCGCCGGAAGCCCAAGAAGGCGAGAACGCCAAACTCAGTCAAAAGCCGAAGGACAGCACTGACTTTGGCATCCCTCTTGTGGGCCTCTTGGGCCGTCTCGGGACCCCCCTAGCACCATCTTGGAGGACTCTTGGGGCCATCCTGGCTTGTCTTAGGGGCTCTCTTGCTTCCAAAAAGCCAGCGACAACGCGCGACAGCACGGGCCACGCTGGAGATAATCTGGCAACTTGGGATCCTGGGCCCTTGATTTCGAAGCCCGAGTACGTAAGACTCAAGGGACCTGAGGATTCCAAGTCGTGCTGGAGACCATTCAGGCCGGAGGCAGCCCCTCGCCGCCTCCCCAGCGTCGCCTGTGCCTGGGCCGCCCGGAGGGAGCCACTCGCCCCTCCCCAGCGTCGCCTGTGCCTGGGCCGCCGACCGACCCGAGGTCTTCACCCAAGCCGCATGTCCCCGGACGGGCGGACTCTCCCCTCTCAGGTTTGGTGACCGAGCAGCGGAGACGCCATCGGTGGGAGCGGAAGCAGCAGAAGGCGGCGGGCGCAGTGCCCCCGAGTCCGCGGCACATCCCGTCCTCGAAGCGCCAGCGCCCTCGTTCGCCGGTGCAGTTCGTGCACGACCCCTGGGTGCGCAAGACGCCCAAGGCGCCGACGAGGACGCAGGCCAAGCCCTGGGTGCGCCAGACACCCGAGGCCACGGCGAAACCGAAGGCCGAACCCAAGAGGCCGAGAGTGGCCTGGCGACCCCGTGCCTGACGGCCTCGGGGCTCCAGGAGGACATCAAGGACGCCTCCTTACCCTCGGTCCCTCCCTTCCCCACGCTCGGTGCCAAGAAGGAGGAGGAGCCTGACGACGACGACACCCCCTTCAACTGCATCAGCGACGTGCCGCAGACCATCCAGGCTGGAGGCAGCGCTCACATCGCCGTGTTCTTTCGCTCGACCCCCGAACTCGTGTTGAAGATAGCTTGTGAGCCGATCTATGTCCTGCTCAAGTCTAGCTCTCGCTTCTCGCACTTGCGTAAGCAGCTCCTGAAGGTGTGCCGTAACCGGTGCATCCCAGTTTTGCCAGCCTCCATTTTGGCGGTTTCGGTCACGGACGACGGCGTAATCACACATATTACCGTCCCGGCCGACAAATTAGCTGCAGCTGAGCTCGAGCATGTGGCCGGCGAGGATGTTTTCTTCCTGTCATGCCAGCTTGCCGCGCGATGCCCCCTAAATGGTTAGCTACGCCTGTGCTGCAGGGCCCTGCATTGAGCATGCGTGTAGGCTGATGTGCGGTGTTCGGCGGATGCCCCCATCCGCCCCTCTTGCTCGCTATGCCCGCGCTGCAAGGCCCTGCCCCGAGCACGTGTGCGTAGCCTTTTGCGCCCCGCCTGCGTGGGCACCACACGACGTGTCTCGGGGCCTCTGTGCCACAGTGTGTACATGCCCCGCCTGACCGCCGCATTCCTGTCCAGGTGTGCGCCTACGAGGAGGGGACGCTGCCTCTGGGACACTGGGCCTGGTATGTTTCGTCTAGGCGCTCACTTCTCTGAATACGGTTCGCCCGATTAACGTGCTACGTTTCGCGCAACGTTGGCCTCATTAAAGATTAAAGATTATATACACATCTGTATACATATACATATATACATATACATATACATATATATACACATACATACATATATATATATATAAATATATATATATATATAAACAGAGAGAGGGGGATAGAGAGATAGAGAGAGAGAACAAAAAAAAACAAAAAATCGCATTTGGAAGGGAAGGGATAGGATGTCAGACACGGCGCGAGCGCATGTAGCTTGTTTTCCTCCTCCTTTTCCTCCTCCTCCTCCTCCTCCTCCCTGGTCCTCCTCCCCCTCCCCCCCTTCGCCTCGATTGCATTGGCCTCCTTAGTTCCCTCCTCATTATCCTGCTCCTCCGCCCCCTAAATGTCCCCATCCTCTTCCATCCTTGGTTTGGCATCTGGCCCTGTCGAGTCGCAAGTGCCTCTTAAAGGGCCGGGGTCTGATTCCACACTTGGAATAGCGAAATGCAACCAATGATCACGATGGGCAGGAATGGAAGGGAAGGGTCGGATATCAAATGCGGCGCAAGCGCATCGAGATTGCCGGTTGCCTCCTCCTGCTTCTCCTCCTCTTCTTCCTCCTCCTCCTTGTCCTCCTCCTCCTCCTCCTCCTCCTCCTCCTCCTCCTGTTCCTCCTCCTCCTCCTCCTCCTCCTCCTCCTCCTCCTCCTCCCTGGCCCTCCTCCTCATCCTTATCCTCATATTCATCCGTCTCTCTCAAAAACCAGTCTGGCCCAAGCTTGCGCTGGGTCCAGGGTGCCCCTGGGCTGGACCGGCGTTCCGCTGTGATTTCTTGAGCGCTTCATCCGAGGTGAACGCAGGGGTGCTCGGCCACTGGGCGCTACGGGCTCTGCCCGTCCCGCTTGGTGGGTGGGCTCCTTTGCCGCGCGCCAGTCGTGTCTGCGCCCCTTGCTTTCGCGTTCTTCCGGGCGGTCGATTCGAAGGTGATCGTTGAGAAAAATTCATCGGCAGCGTTCGGCGAAGAGCGCCACTTCTCGTTTTCCTTTTTTATCTACGGCAGTCTTTGGAATGTTGCGGTGGCAGCACTTTAGTGTACGTGGTCCTCGCGCTCAGGTGCCTACCCATCTAGCTAGACCGCCCCCATCTACCGCACTCGTGGCTGGCCTTCTTGCTGTGCTTTTTCGGCTTCTGGCTGGACGTGGCGCTAGGCAGCGTCGCCATCCCTGCCCCGATTTCGCTTCCTGGGGTCGCGATTGTGGATCGGCCGCCGGGCATGCTGGGCGCGTCAGGCGCTCCAGAGCTGAAGCACCCCCTCAAGAACTGACGGACAAGATCGTGACCGCCGTCGGCGTCGTGACGGAGACGATCAACAACAAAACGCCCATCGCGAGCTCCGCGACTTGGGCGTGCCGCAGCCTGTACACCGTATTCATGGTTTTGTGCCTCAGCGGGCGGCTGCAGGGCACTCGTTTCCACGCGATGCAGATTGCGCGACAGTTCAGGCCGCATGCAATGCAGTCGGCCGCCATGTATACCCAGATTTGTTCAACTAGGCTGTTGGAATGTTCCCCTTATTCCCACCGCCGCCTGGCGACCTTGGCGAGGCTCTTGGCCCGCCCGACAGGCTACGGTTGGACCATGGCGATATCGTTCCAGCTGGTTCGCGTCTCTGTCTCTGAATCGGCCACCCTGAGCAGCCAATCATGAGGCCAGGCGTGATCGATTTTATGCGTGCTACCGCGGCTGGCATTGCTGCTAATTCAGGCGCTAAGTTTAAGTCGGGACCTGCGACCCCCCCCCCCCCTGCTTGGCTCGGAGCGCGGCCCGAGTCCAGTAGGGAAATATGTGCTCGAGATCGCAGCAGGTCTCGCGCCCACATTCGCAACGCCAGGCCAGTCTCTTCGCCGAGTAGCTCGCCCCCTCCCAGCGGAGGCTCGGCCCCCCACAGCGTCGGCGGCTCACTGCCGCCCAGGAGGGGGCCCAGCAGTTTCGCGAAGTCCGCCAAGGAAGCGCCGCGCGCTCAAGGAGCTTTCGAGGAGGCGAGGCGCCGCCGAGTCGCTGCTTCACCGTCGCCTCGGCCTGGCAAGCAGGAATCAGCGGCCCGCCCTCATGCTGGCCCGCCGCCCACGCGCCTGGTTGAGGCCCGCCGCGCCAAAGAGCGCAGCGGGGCTCCTCAGACCAAGTTCCACGCAGGGGAAGCCACGTGCTCGGCGTGGGCCACTCACTGATCCTTCTACGTAAGACGACTTGGAGGTTCGTCTGTGAGTGGCGCGACAAACGCCTCCCGCGCGGCTCGCTCACAATTTGGCGCAGGATGTGTGAGTACACGGTTTGCGGCGACTGCTACTCGCCGCCCACGCCCCCCAATGAAGCGTCTGCTTTAGCGCAGGCGCAGGAGAGGGGCTCAGCAGCTAGCGGCTCTGCTCCGTCGCAACGCTCGGCCGCCCCCGCTGGCAAACGCGCGCCTGCTTCGGCGCGTGCCGCGGAGCAGGTCCCCAAGAGGCTGTCGAGGCCCAACTACGATGGCGTGCACCCCCCAGTGTGCACGAGCTGCAAGGGCAGAGCCTGGCCAGGCTTGCAATCGAAATCAAGCAAGCACCACTGGGCCGCTCCTTTGCGCCGGAACTTCATGCCCGAAGGAAGGGCGCCGTCCTGCTTCAGGTGCCAGACGAGCACGTGAGAGGGCCAGTGGCGGGGTCTTGCCTCGCCCAACGCGGGCAAGGACTTCGTCTGCAGATTTTGCTGGCTCGGGGAATGCACGGAGGCAGACCTGCCCAAGTGGCAGCGCTGGTTCACGCACCGACAGAACATGCACGGTCGTGCATCTCCCCCACCCCCCCCCCCGAATGGAGGCTCCAAGTTTGCCCCGCCACATTTTAAGGCCTGGCGCAGCTCGGAACTCCACCCTTTTGGGGTTGCGTGCCTTCCAGGGTCTTCCAGGCTTGCCGCGTTTGCGGCGCGGGTCTCCTTTTCTTTTCTGTTCCCGCCGGTGCCTGGCACTTTCGGGGGCTCTTCTCTTTTTCTTGAATATTCGCGGGCGCGGCCTGGCTGCGCGCGTCGGTGCCCCCCCCTGGTTCCATCGGGGCCCGGTGGACTTTTCGTCGTTGGCGTGGCTGGTCTTCGGCCTTTCGCTGCCGAGCGACCGCGCGGTGCGCCCAGGTTTAGGCCCTGGTAATCTGCACGGAACATTGCGTGGCCACTGGGGCATTACCCTGATTGTAGTCCTGGAGCCTCGTGTTTTGAGCGGATGCTGCGCCTTCCTTGGCGCGCGGGGCGCCGGCGCGGGCCTCGCCCAACACAGCCCTGCTTTACTTGCCCTCGCGGGGCTCTTTGGCTGGGATGAGGCTAGCCCATCGTCCTGGCGTTTTCGACGCCAGGGGTGGGCATTGCCGAGTCGTCCCAGCGTCGCCTAGGGAACATCACCTTGTTGCGCGCGCGCGCGCGCGCGCCCTGCGCGCGCATCAGGCACCCCTTCTTTGGGGGAAGGTGCGTTGCACATACATCTCGGAACTGCCTTCGCTGCGCCTTGGCCCCTGCATGTTCGATCTGGGTTTTTGTCTCTTGCAGGTCGGCGGTGCTGGCGTCTTGCAGCCAGCCCTGGCACCCGAGCTTTGGAGTTCTGCCAACCTGGAGAGGCTGGCCGCCCTTTTCACTGCAGCGTGCTGTTTGGCTCACCCCTGGCGCTTTGGGCACGGGGGTGGATTGGGTTGCCAGTCCGCCCCGACTGCTGCTCAGTCCCAGACTTTGTCTTCTCGTGCACTGTCGCTGGCTGTCCAAACAGTGAGCCACCTTTCTTCAACAGTGGCCCTGTTGGCGGCGTCCGAGCCGAGGGTCGATCCGCGCGGGGAGGGGCCATAGTGGGCGCTCCGAAAGGAACTCGCGAAGCTCCCTCCCCATAGCGGCTCTCGCCGAGGCGAGGTCGCCTATTTCTCAGAGCTGGCAGGTCCCGCGCTGCCGGTTGCTTGCGCTATGCGGCGGGCCCGCGGAGGTCAAAAAAGTCCTCATCCGTCTCTCTCCTGTCTCTTCTACATCGAGCGCTTCTGCTTCGAGGGCGCGGCGAAGAGTGGGCGGAGAGCCCCGGTTCTCGCTGGCGCGAAAGCGCGCCTCGTCGTCGCCGTCGGCGGTGTCATCGTCGTCGTCGCGATCAGTCTCGTGATTTTTTGCTGCTCTGGTCAGGCCGCCCGCCTCCTCCTCCTCCTCCTCCTCCTCCTCCTCCTCCTCCTCCTCCTCCTCCTCATCCTCATCCTCATCTTCCCCCCTGGTCCTCCTCTTCATCCTTATCCTCATCTTCATCCGTCTCTCTCAAAAACCAGTCTGGCCCAAGCTTGCGCTGGGTCCAGGGTGCCCTGGGCTGGACCGGCGTTCCGCCGTGCTTCCTTGAGCGCCTCGTCCGAGGTGAACGCAGGGGTGCTCGGCCACTGGGCGCTACGGGCTCTGCCCGTCCCGCTTGGTGGGCGGGCCCCTTCGCCGCGCGCCAGTCATGTCTGCGCCCCTTGCTTTCGCGCTCTTCCTGGCGGTCGATTCGAAGGTGATCGTTGAGAACAATTCATCGGCAGCGTTCGGCGAAGAGCGCTTCACCACTTCTCGCTTTCCGTTTTTATCTACGGCAGTCTTTGGAATGTTGCGGTGGCAGCACTTTGGTGCACGTGGCCCTCGCGCTCAGGTGCCTACCCATCTAGCTATACCGCCCCCATCTACCGCACTCGTGGCTGGCCTCATTGCTGTGTTTCTTCGGCTTCTGGCTGGACGTGGCGCTAGGCAGCGTCGCCATCCCTGCCCCGATTTCGCTTCCTGGGGTCGCGATTGTGGATCGGCCGCCAGGCATGCTGGGCGCGTCAGGCGCTCCAGAGCTGAAGCACTTCCTCAAGAACTGACGGACAAGATCGTGACCGCCGTCGGCGTCGCGACGGAGACGATCAACAACAAGACGCCCATCGCGAGCTCCGCGACTTGGGCGTGCCGCAGCCTGCACATCGTATTCATGTTATTGTGCCTCAGCGGGCGGCCGCCTGGCACTCGTTTCCACGCGACGCAGACTGCGCGACAGTTCAGGCCGCATGCGATGCAGTCGGCCGCCATGTATACCCAGATTTGCCCAACGAGGCTGTTGGAGTGTTTCCATTATTCCCACCGCCGCCTGGCGACCTTGGCGAGGCTCTTGGCCCGCCCGACAGGCTACGGTTGGACCATGGCGATATCGTTCCAGCTGGTTCGCGTCTCTGTCTCTGGATCGGCTACCCTGAGCAGCCAATCGCGAGGCCAGGCGTGATCGATTTATGCGTGCTACCGCGGCTGGCATTGCTGCTAATTCAGGCGCTAAGTTTAAGCCGGGACCTGCGACTCCCCCCCCCCCCCTGCTTGGCTCGGAGCGCGGCCCGAGTCCAGTAGGGAAATAGGCGCTCGAGGTCGCAGCAGGTCTCGCGCCCACATTCGCAACGCCAGGCCAGTCTCTTCGCCGAGTAGCTCGCCCCCTCCCAGCGGAGGCTCGGCCCCCCACAGCGTCGGCGGCTCACTGCCGCCCAGGGGGGGAGCCTAGCAGTTTCGCGAAGTCCGCCAAGGAAGCGCCGCGCGCGCAAGGAGCCTTCGAGGAGGCGAAGCGCCGCCGAGTCGCTGCTTCACCGTCGCCTCGGCCTGGTAAGCAGGAATCAGCGGCCCGTCCTCCTGCTGGCCCGCCGCCCACGCGCCTGGTTGAGGCCCGCCGCGCCAAAGAGCGCAGCAGGGCTCCTCAGGCCAAGTTCCACGCAGGGGAAGCCACGTGCTCGGCGTGGACCACTCACTGATCCTTTTACATAAGACGAATTGGAGGTTCCCCTGTGAGAGGCGCGACAAACGCCTCCCGCGCGGCTCGCTCACAATTTGGCGCAGGATGTGTGAGCACACGGTTTGCGGCGACTGCTACTCGACGCCCACGCCCCCTAGTGTCTGCTTTAGCGCAGGCGCAGGAGAGGGGCTCAGCAGCTAGCGGCTCTGCTCCGTCGCAACGCTCGGCCGCCCCCGCTGCCAAACGCACGCCTGCTTCGGCACGTGCCGCGGAGCAGGTCCCCAAGAGGCCGCCGAGGCCCAACAACGATGACGTGCACCCCCCAGGGTGCACGAGCTGCAAGGGCAGAGCCTGGCCAGGCTTGTATTCGAAATCAGGCAAGTACCACTGGGCCGCTCCTTTGCGCCGTAACTTTATGCCCGAAGGATGGACGCCGTCCTGCTTCAGGTGCCAGACGAGCACGTGAGAGGGCCAGTGGCGGGGTCTTGCCTCGCCCAATGCAGGCAAGGACTTCGTCTGCAGATTTTGCTGGCTCGGGGAATGCACGGAGGCAGACCTGCCCAAGTGGCAGCGCTGGTTCACGCACCGACAGAACATGCATGGTCGTGCATTTCCCCAACCCCCCCGAATGGAGGCTCCAAGTTTGCCCCGCCACACTTTAAGGCCTGGCGCGGCTCGGAACTCCACCCCTTTGGGGTTGCGTGCCTTCCAGGGTCTTCCAGGCTTGCCGCGTTTGCGGCGCGGGTCTCCTTTTCTTTTCTGTTCCCGCCGGTGCCTGGCACTTTCGGGGGGCTCCTCTCTTTTCTGGAATATTCGCGGGCGCGGCCTGGCTGCGCGCGTCGGTGCCCCCCCCTGGTGTTCCCTCGGGGTTCGGTGGACTTTTCGTCGTTGGCGTGGCTGGTCTTCGGCCTTTCGCTGTTGAGCGACCGCGCGGTGCGTCCAGGTTTAGGCCCTGGTAATCTGTACGGAACATTGCGTGGCCACTGGGGCATTACCCTGATTGTAGTCCTGGAGCCTCGTGTTTTGAGCGGATGTTGCGCCTTCCTTGGTGCGCAGGGCGTAGGCGCAGGCCTCACCCAGCACAGCCCTTCTTTACTTGCCCTCACGGGGCTCTTTGGCTGGGATGAGGCTAGCCCATCGCCCTGGCGTTTTCGACACCAGGGGTGGGCATTGCCGATTCGTCCTAGCGTCGCCTAGGGAACATCACCTTGTTGCGCGCGCGTGCGTGCGCGCCCTGCACGCGCATCAGGCACCCCTTCTTTGGGGGAAGGCGCGTTGCACATACATCTCGGAACTGCCTTCGCTGCGCCTTGGCCCTTGCAGGTTCGATCTGGGTTTTTGTCTCTTGCAGGTCGGCGGTGCTGGTGTCTCGCAGCCAGCCCTGGTACCCGAGCTTTGGGGTTCCGCCAACCTGGAGAGGCTGGCCGTCCTTTTCACTGCAGTGTGCTGTTTGGCTCACCCCTGGTGCTTTGGGCACGGGGGTGGATTGGGTTGCCAGTCCGCCCCGACTGCTGCTCAGTCCCAGACTCTGTTTTCTCGTGCACTGTCTCTGGCTGTCCAAACAGTGAGCCACCTTTCTTCAACAGTGGCCCTGTTGGTGGCGTCCGAGCCGAGGGTCGATCCGCGTGGGGAGGGGGCCATAGTGGGCGTTCCGAAAGGAACTCGCGAAGCTCCCTCCCCATAGCGGCTCTCGCCGAGGCGAGGTCGCCTATTTCTCAGAGCTGGCAGGTCCCGCACTGCCAGTTGCTTGCACTAAGCGGTGGGCCCGCGGAGGTCAAAAAAGTCCTCATCCGTCTCTCTCCTGTCTCTTCTTCATCGAGCGCTTCAGCTTCGAGGGCGCGGCGAAGAGTGGGCGGAGAGCCCCGGTTCTCGCTGGCGCGAAAGCGCGCCTCGTCGTCGCCGTCGGCGGTGTCATCGTCGTCGTCGTCATCAGTCTCGTGATTTGTGCTGCTCTGGTCAGGCCGCCCGCCTCCTCCTCCTCCTCCTCCTCCTCCTCCTCCTCCTCCTCCTCCTCCTCCTCCTCCTCCTCCTCCTCCCTCCTCATCCTCCTCCTCCTCCTCTCCTCCTCCTCCTCCTCCTCCTCCTCCTCCTCCTCCTCCTCCTCCTCCTCCTCTCTCTTCCTCCTCATCATCATCATCATCCCCTTCCTCCTCCTCCTCCTCCTCTTCATCATCCTCCTTCTCCTCCTCCTCCTTATCATACTCTTCCTATTCATCAAATTCGGCGTCCTCCTCTTCCATCGCTGGTCGTCTTCCTCCTCTTCTTCTTCATAGCTGGTCTTACTTCTCCTCCTCATCCTCATCCTCGTTTTCATCCGTCTCTCTCCTGTCTCCTCTACCTCGAGTGCTTCTGCTTCGAGGGCGCTGCGAAGAGTGGGCGGAGAGCCCCTGTTCTCGCTGGCGCGAAAGCGCGCCTCGTCGTCGCCGTCGGCGGCGTCATCGTCGTCGTCGCCATCAGCGCCGCGATGCTTGCTGCTCTGGTTAGGCTGCCCTCCTCCTCCTCCTCGTCCTCCTCCTCCTCCTCCTCTTCATCTTCCTCCTCCCCTTCCTCCTCCTTCTCATCCTCATCCTCCTCCTCCTCCTCCTCCTCCTCCTCCTCCTCCTCCCTCCTCCTCCTCCTCATACTTCTACCCCTCCTCCTTCTCCTCCTATTCCTCCTCTTCCTTTTCCTCCTCTTCCATCGCTGGTCGTCTTCCTCCTCTTCCTCTTCATAGCTGCTCTTACTTCTCCTCCTTATCCTCATCCTCGTCTTCATCCGTCTCTCTCCTGCCTCCTTTACCTCGAGTGCTTCTGCTTCGAGGGCGCTGCGAAGAGCGGGCGGAGAGCCCCGGTTCTCGCTGGCGCGAAAGCGCGCCTCGTCGTCGCCGTCGGCGGCGTCATCGTCGTCGTCGTCATCAGCGTCGTGATGTTTGCTGCTCTGGTCAGGCCGCCCGCCTCATCCTCCTCCTCTTCATCATCCTCCTTCTCTTCCTCCTCCTCCTCCTCCTCTTCATCCTCCTCCTGCTCCTCCTTATCCTCCTCTTCCTATTCCTCCTCTTCCATCGCTGGTCCTCTTCCTCCTCTTCCTCTTCCTCCTCTTCATAGCTGGTCTTGCTTCTCCTCCTCCTCCTCCTCCACCTCCACCTCCTCCTCCTCCTCTTTCTCCTCTTTATCGCTGGTCGTCCTCTTCCTTCTTCTTCTCCTCGCGGTGGCGCGAGAGCGCGCCTCGTCTTCGTCCGCAACGGCGGCGGCACTCGGCCCCTCCTCCTCCTCCTCCTCCTCCTCCTCATCATCATCATCATCATCATCATCATAATCATCGTCACCATCGTCATCACCATGATCAGTATCATCATCATCATCATCATCATCGTCATCGTCATCGTCAGCATCATCATCGTCATCATCATCATCATCATCATCATCATCATCATCATCATCATCATCATCATCATCATCATTAGCAGCAGCAGCAGCATTATCTTCATAAGCATCATCATCATTATCATCGTCATCATCATCATCTGCACCCTCAACCTCATCCTCATCCTCATCCTTCTTTCCCCTTGTCTCCTCTGCCTCGAGTGATTCTGCCTCGAGGGCGCGGTGGAGAGTGGGCAGAGAGCCCCTGTTCTCGTTGGCGCGAAAGCGCGCCTCGCCGTCGCCGTCGGCGGCGTCATCGTCGTCGTCGTCATCAGCGTCGTGATGTTTGCTGCTCTGGTCAGGCCGCCCTCCTCCTCCTCTTCAGCCAACTCCTCCTCCTCCTCAACTTTCCGCTCCTCCTTCTCCTCTTCTTCCTCTTCCTCCTCTTCCTCTTCCTCCTCTTGTCCTCTTCCTCCTCCTCCTCTTCATCTTCATCGCTGGTCTTCTTCCTCGTCCGCCTCCTCCTCCTCCTCTTCATATTCCTCCTCCTCCTCCTCCTCCTCTTCATCGGTGGTCCTCCTCTTCCTCATCCTTCTCATCCTCTCGGTGGCGCGGGAGCGCGCCTCGTCTTCGTCCGTAACGGCGGCGGCACTCGGCCCCTCCTCCTCCTCCTCCTCCTCCTTCTCGCCTCCCCCGCGCGGCCTGACTCAGGCGGTCCCCTCCGTGATCACTAGAGACATGCCGGTGGGGAGGGTGAGGTCCGTGATGAATTTGCCGTGCTCCACGCACTCCAGGAGACCGGCAAGGGACAGGGGAGGGGTTCGATTCGGTCGTCCACGAAGGAAGGGTCAAGCCTTTGCTGCCTGGTGAGTGCCGAGCCCATGTGGGCCCGAGGGTTGAAACCGCGCTTGCAGCGGGCTCATCCTCACCCGAGGCACACGAAAACGAGGGGAAGGACATCGAGAAACAAGTGAGACTCCAGAGGCCACACAAAAAACGAAGGACGCCCGCGGGACACACATGAGGCTCCAGGTTGAAAGGGTGAATGGCTTGGATGGTTTGAAAGGGGCCAGGGGCGGCTTTGGTGTTTGGAGGCTCTGTGGGGGATGACTCCCTCTTCTTCTTCCTCCTCCTCCTCCTCCTGTCTCCTCCTTCTCCCTCCTCCTCCTCCTCCTCCTCCTCCTCCTCCTCTTAGTCCTCTTCATCATCTTGCTCTTCCTTCCCTTCTCTGCCCCTTCTCCCGCTTCACCTCCCTCTAGTCTCAATCCTGAGCCACTCGTCGCCGCCGAGTATCCCTCTAAGCACAACGCGTGCGGCGACGCATTGTGCGCTGCAGAGCTCTTTGTGGGAAGCACAGCCGGCCACGCGACCACCTGCAAGAAGGGGCTGGCGCGCCAGAGACCCTATCCCGCCTTGCTCACCGAGCCGGCGCCTCTCGCCCGCCAGGCAGGGGCCAGCGGCGACGATGAACGGCATGTGTCCGAGCTGTAGAAGCTCCCCAATGCTGCCGACGAAGTGGCAGCAGCAAGGGCCACGCCCAGGTACGACGAGGCCATTCTCGATGTCATCGTCAGGGTTCCAACGGCCACCCGTGCATGGTAGTGGAACGTCGCGATCCGCCGCCCGCACGCGGCCTGGAGCGTGCACGCGCACGCGGTCGCAGCGGAGGCGGCGGGCGCCGTTCTCTGGGGCAGGACCACGCGGCCCCGGCCAGGAGTGGCAGCGTGGAGCTGCGGCAGCACGTGCGCCTTACCAGCAGTCGGACACCCTCCTCGGCTCGATGGCCGTACACCCTGGGCGATGCTTAAGAAAGCCTAAATTTTCGGCCAGAGTCTCGATTATTCTTAATGTTTCAGAGTAAATCCTAAGATTTGAATAGACATTCTGGGTTGTTGTTCAAGTTCTGAGACTATGAATTTCTTAACCCATGATTTCTAAAGCATTTCGCAGGGTGTAGAGCTGCCAACCATCAGGGGAGCGCGACCCAGCGTCGTGATGCAGCAGCAGCGCCGCAGGCTGGATGGCGTGGCGGTCGTAGTACAAGCGGACGTCGCGCTGCTCTGCTCGGTGCCACCAGAAGGTTTGCGACGGACCCGCAGCACGGCCACGCAACGAAAGCTTGGCAGCACAGGTTCAGCTGAACTTCGGCGTTTGCAGTGGAGACCCTTCATCATCCCCATGCATCACCATCTACGTGTGCGGATCGACCTACTGGCTATGGCGGCCGCGCGCTTGTGCACCAAGAGCTCGCCGAGGCGGTAGTGGGAGGCGCCTGTCTCCTCCCTCGCCCCTCCTTCCGCCGCCACCGGTAATATCATCAGCATCATCTACACCACCACCATCGTCAGCAGCATGACCATCATCAGCATCATCATCATCATCAGCATCATCATCAGCAGCATCATCATCGTCATCGTCACTGTCATCATCGTCATCATCATGACCAACAAGAACAGCATCGCCAGCAGCAGCCTCATCATCATCAACACTATCAGCATCTGTATCCTCATCAGCAGCAGCAGCATCATCATCACCATCATCACCATAGCGGCTATCACCGCCATCACCATCACCATCGTCGGCCGTTTGCGCTCTGATCTGAGCCACAACCAGCCTGGGGCGCACCACGATCGGCCCACGGCCTCCCCGCGCAAGAGGATGCCGCGGGGCAGCTGGCGGAGCGGCTGCGCCGCCGCGCGGGCTCTGGGCTCGGGCGCGGCGCCAGCCTGCGCCGGGCGCCGAGCTGGCCCACGGGCGCGGCGACCCCCCGGCCCACGGAACCAGATGCCTTCGGATCGGCGCGTCGCCTTCGTAGCGAGCCGAGGGCCCGAGGACGTTCGGGTGTCCCCCCCAACCATTGGGGCACCGCCTCGCGCAAGGCGGCGGCCGCGGGGGCGAGCGGGGCCCCGATGGGTTCTCACGGCGCGCGCAGCCCGCCAGCACGCAGCTTGCGTCGGCCCTCCGTGCGCCGCCCGCGTCGCGTCGATGGGCTTCGGACCACAGAAAACGCGCTGGCCCTGGCAGCCGCTGGCCGCAGAGCAGGCAGGGGCGGGGGCCCGCTCCGCCTGGCGAGAGGAGGCCCCTGCCAGCGGTGGGGGCAGCCCTTCTGTCTTCGGGCGCGAGGCCCGCCAGGCCCGCCCCTTTGTGGCCGCGGAGGCGCGCGCCGCGGCGGGCGGAGACCTCGGAGGCGCGCTGCGGCGGCACGGCCTGCAGGAAGGGAAGCGGGGCTGAGCAGGCAGGCGCTGGAGTGCTGGCGAGCCTCCCGGCGTGGGCTTGACCGGGAGACCCCTCCTGCCGCTGCAGCAGAGCGACTGGTCGGCAGTTGCAGGGCGGGGCCCCGAGGGGTGGGGCCCTGGGGAGAGGAAAGGGATCCACAGCTGAATCTTCACACTTCCAAGCCAGTCGCTCCTAGGGCACCGTCCCACAGGGCCACGTACATGAACCGCCGCGATGAGGGGACAGCGCTGGCACCAAACGGGCGGCCATGTCGGCTTTCACTCCTCTTACCTGCAGCGCGTCAGTCTTTATCGGTCGCACAGCTCGCGAGTTCGGCTCTGCACCTTCACGCTTGCTTTGTCGTGCCTCGACGGACCTTGGAAGATTACAGCGAACCCGCATATTCAGGATGAGCAACTTTCCAAGGTTACTGTTGCATCCTTCCCCTTCGGCCATCCTTGGCCGTTGTCGCTTGCCGCGCCCCGCCCGCTGAGTATCGGCATGGCCTTTCAAGGCTCTTGCATCCTTTCCGCGCACCCTTGTTATACGGGTTGGCTGTAGTGTGCTTTGCCGCCCACAAGTGGCAGTGGTGATGGAGGCGGATAATTGGAAGGGCTTCCCAGGGCGCTCGAGGGGCACCCAACCCAAAATGGCAGCCCCGCTGGAAGCTGCTGCGACGCCTGAACAATTCACCCACGTCTGCTTTCACCTTTTGCGTGCCGCCGCCGTTGGGGCTAAAGCGTTGCAGAGGCCCTATCTAGTCAAGCCCCGGTCGGACTGCATGCTCCGATTGTTTGACCTGCGCCCGCGTGATTCCACTCTTTCCACCTGGTTCCACGTGCTTCCGTTCGATTGCACGCGGCCTCAACCTTAAAAGTTGTCATTCGCACAGTTTGCGATCAAGGAAGCATGTCAGTTATTCGCGCCAGGGCGGTGAAACACATTCGACATGAAGATCCCCAAATGTGTATGCTCTAACGCTTTCTTTTGGGGGAGTCGGGGGGAGAGCAGGCTTGAGCGTGAGCGAGACGGGGTATGAGCGACTAGACACGAGCAAATCTGATTGCGAACAGGTACGCGTATGAGCGGTTAGTTGTAAGTGGTATTAGGTATGAGTCGGTCTGGGCACTGGCGGGTCGAGCACAAGTGGGTTTGAATATGAGCGCGTCTGGGTAGTAGTGGGCCCCAGTGATTGCGCATGAAAGAGTGTGCCTGCGACGGGGTCTGAATTCGAGCAACTGCAAATGAGGCCGTCTGATCAATCCTGGGGCTTCCTGGAGCTTCCTTTGACGTCATAGGGCCTTTGGTGCCTCTTGGTGCTTCCAGGGACGTCCTGGATGTCTGGCCTTCGTGGAGGCTCCTGCAGGGGGAGAGCGGCGGAGCGGAGGAGGGGGAAGAGCATCTCCCCGTCTTCTTTTCTTTGTTCTGGCAAATTGCGGTTGCTTCCCTGGTGGATTGGCTTCTTTGCCAGCGGAGCGCTTAGAAAGAGTCCAGTTTGTTGCGCCCTGTTGCAAAGGAAGGTGCACACGCCGATGTTGTGCCGCATCCCAAGGACACCTAAACAGGTCGCATATGATACATCAAAAAGAGACCACGGGGGATAACCCCAGCGGGGGCGGACGCATACACGCATATACAGATTCCTCTTCCTATATTTATACAAGCCCGGGCGGGGGGAAAACCCGTCACTCCCCCCCCCAAAAACCAGACTCCCGGGATCTGGGGTTGGGGGACCCTCCGGACGGGCCTCGAAGCGGCCCCCAGATCCTCGCAGGGCGTTTTGCCAAGCCTTCCCAGCACACCCACGGCGATCAGGAGGGTCATCGGAGACGTCCCAGAGACCCCAAGACCGCACAAGAGCGCTTCAAGAGTGACCGGTGTGACCTCAAGATGGCCCAAGAGGCCTCCAGGACGGCCCCAAAGCGGGCTCCATGAGCATTTCCAAGAAGGCCCCCCGAGACAAAAATCAGTGATTTTCTGTTGGTTTTTGGTGAATTTTGGGGTTCCCCTCTTTTCGGCTTCCCGACGCTCCAAGACGGCGATCTTCTGGGCGTCCGAAGCCGCCTGGGAGGCTCCAAAATCGCCCCACAACCATCCGAAAAGGCTTTAGGCAGTCCAAGAGAGCCCCAAAACGGCACAACACGGGTCCAAGATGGCCCTCAGAGAGCCCCATGGCGGCCCAAGATGGCCTAAAGACACCCTCCGAAGCATTCGACAGGGAGACCGCGGTTGGAGGCAGGGTGGCCCGAGGAAGCCCCCGGATGCCCCCAGAATACGCCCAGGGGGCCTCCAGAAGGGGCCCCCAGAGGCTCTCCAAGGAGGAGCCTCCGCAAAAAAGAGCTGAGGAGGATGGGGAGAATGCGCATGGTATGGCGAAAATAAGGAAAAGAAGTATGGAGGAAGGATACCGAATAACATTATTATAGCGGCGATGCCAGAAAAGGCAACAAAGTTATCGCTAAATTGTCGGCTTGACCTTCCTGCTATTCCGCCTGCACACCAAACTTCAAGGACCAAGGTGCATGGCGCGAAGCGCCACTGCAGTCTGGTGTATATATATATATATATACATGTATGTGTATGTATACAAGATGTGCCCTGGCTCGCTGCGGCTTGCCGAGCACATGTTGATCGCATGGCGCTAGCGAGGCTCGCCGCGACCACCTGTGCCGTCTGTGCCACGGACGTCTGGCGTATGGGCTCCGCTGGACATGCAAGACCCATCGTTGCGCCTGGGTTGGGTTCTCCGCGCGCGCACGTCCAGTGGGCTCTCCATCTGCCATGGGCTCCCAGCGTGGGTCGTCGAGCTAGTGCGGCTCGCGGGGGTCGTAGGGCTCATGGGGCAAATTGGGGGTCGTAGGGCTTATGAGACTTATAAGGCTCATAGGGCGCGTAGGACTCATAGGCCTCATGGGGCTGGCTGGGCTCACGGGGCTCATAAGGTTCGTAGGCCCCATGGGGGCCGAAGGGCCCGCAAGGGTCGTAGGGTTCACAAGGTCCTTAGGGGTCGTAGGGCTCATAGCGCTCATGGGGCTCACGCGGCTCGTAGGGCTCATAAGCCGTATACGGCTCGTAGGGTTCGTAGGGCTCTTATGGTTGGCAGGGCTCGTAGGGCTCGCGGGGGTCATGGGTTCGTAGAGCTCATTGAGTTCATGAGGGTCGTATGGGTCGCGAGGTTTGTAGGGCTCATGGGACTCGTAGGGTTCTCAGGGCACGCGAGGCTCGTAAGGTTCGCGGGGCTCGTGGGGCTCATAAGGGTACCAGGGTTGAGGAGGCTCGCAAAGATAGTAAAGTTCGCTGGACTTGTGGGGGTAGTGGGGGTCATGGGGTTCAGGCAGGGGCCTCGGGCTGCAAAGCTCGTAGGGGTCGTCGGGCTCTGGGGAGTCGGGAGGGCCATAGGGCTCGCGGGGCTCATGGGCCTCGCGCACAGGCGACTCAAAAGTGTCGCGGGTCTCTTAGGGCGCATAAGGCGTCGTATGGCTCGTGGGGGTCATCGGGCTCGTGGGGGTCCGTGGGCCTGGAAGGGCTGACGGGGCTTGCCATGAGGTTCATAGAGCACACGCGGTTCATGGACTCGTAGGGCTCAGTAGGGCCGTAGCGCCCGTAGGGTTCGTTGGGCTTGAGGGCTCAGGGCGCACGAGTCTCGTGGGGCACATAGCCTTGTAGGGCTATAGCGCTTGCAGGGCTCGTAGGGCTCATAGCGCTCATAGGGCTCATGCGGCTCATAGGGCTAACAGGGCTCGTAGGGCTTGTAGGGTTCACAGGGTTCGTGGGGCTCGAAGGGCTCATGGGGGTCATGGGCTCGTCGGGCTCGTGGGGCTCGTAAGGCTCCTAGAGATCGGAAGCTCCACAGGGTCGCAAGGCTCGTAGAGCTCGCAGTGCGCGTAGGGCTCACGGGGAACGGAAAGCTCATAGGGCCCACATGGTTCAGGGTGTTGGAGAGGGTTCGCGGGGATGATGCGGTTCATGGGGCTCGTAGGGTCCATAGGGCTCCTGGAGATCGTGGGGCTCCTGGGGGTCGTGGGCATCGTGGAGCCAATCGGATGTGTGGGGTTTTTAGGGCTCATGGAGGTCGAGTGGAGTGTAGGGCTCATGAGGCCTTGGGGATTGTGAAATTACAGAGCTCACCGAGGTTGCGAGGGTTTGCGATGTGCACTGGGGGGGGGGTATTCATGGGGGTAGCGGGGGTCGGAAGGCTCTCGGGGTTGGGTTCATGCGGGTCATCGGGATCATGGGAGTGGTGGGGCTCAGGGAGTGAGGCTCACAGGGCTCGTAAAGGTGCGGGGCTGATAGGGTGGAGGGGGGTCGCAGGTTCGGAAGGCTCTTGGCTGATGGGCGGTCGGAAGCTCCAAAAAGCGGGAACATTGAAATGTACGGAAGAGGTAGCAGCAGCAGCAGCAGCAGCAGCAAAATGTTCAATCGTTTGGGGCCCTCGTGGGAAAATCTTTTGGGGGCCGTCGGGGCAGTCCTGAAAACATCTTGAAGCGATCTTGGGCGTGTTGGAGCAGCCTTGGGCCTCCCGAACGATTTGAGTCACGCCCAGGCGGTCGAAGAAGGTTGCGAGGGGCACCCAGAATTCAAAGTTTACGTTTTTGGCGATGGGAGCTCTTGGAATGACATGTCAGGGGGGGGTCAAGGGGGTTGCCGATGTGAGAAAATTCGGAGCGGAAATGTGCAGTTACAGATTTATAGAGAGAGAGAGAGAGAGATAGTCGTGCTACCACCCCATGGGGTAAAAAGTGGTGATCGGCAGTATGCGAGGGAACAACGCATGCGTCTTCGCCAATCGATGAAACCTCGAGCTTCGACCTTCGATCGATCCCAAGATGACTCCCAGACAGGCTCGTGACCCGAACGGAGGAACGGCGCCGCAGGGGTGGACGAGACGCGTGGTTGTTAGGACAGCCCAAACAAAATCGCCACTCTCGGGCGGCGTGAGAAGCAACCAGAAAAGACCCTTTGTGGAATTATCGGGCGATATCGCCATTCTCAAGCGGCGTGAAGATCGATCTGATTTGTTTCTCGGAGGACACGCGAAATCGCCATTTTCAGATGCCATGGCACATTTGTTTTGAGATCGCCCTAGAAGGCGATATGAAAGCTTTGTTGAGGAAGTCTCGGGCGGAATCGCACTTTCAGACGCTGACCCCACTTGGGCGTTAGAATCTCAAGAGGGGTGAGAGATGCATTTGAAATTCCCAAATCGGCCCCAACTCCAACATTGTCCCGTGGCCCCGCGGGCTAACTGGAGGCCAGCCGTGTCTTTCTCGATCCCCACGGCCTCCACTTTTAATTCAGCGGGTTGTAATGCAGGTTCGCGAGTGGGTCGTTCGTCGTCGCTTCTTGGGGCCGATTTGAACATGTCGTGGGGGCCTCTTGGGTCGGCTTTGGGCCCTCTGGGGCCGTTTGACCTTTCTGGGCAATGTTGGGGGCCTCTTGGGCCGTCGGGGGCCTTGTTGGGCTGTCGTGGGACCTTCTTGGGCAGTCTAGAGCCCCAGCGACCCTCTTGGAGCGTTTTGGGTATGTTATGTGTCCCATTTGGGCAATGCTGGGCCCTACTCGGGGCCAGGGCCGTCTTGGGCGCGCATGGGGTCATCTTGGAGCGATCTGGGGGGTGGTTTCGGATGTCTCGGGCGCTCTGGAGGCCTAGAAGCGGAGCATGATGAAATGCTACCGATACGGAAAGAAAATGTACAGCGTTTGCCTTCTAAGGGCATTGTGGGAGCTTGGTTGGGGCTTCTTGGGTGGTCTTCTGTATCTCCTGGGTGTGATTATCAGGGGTATTCGGTTAGGAAGGGTTAGGAGGGGATAGGAGAGGAGGCGGAAGTGGACGCCTCGCGAGGAGAGGGCTCGACTGGCGGCACAACATCTTCGATGCCGAGACGTCGGTGCTCAAGGTCTCCAGAGACGTGCTCCGGATGCAGCAGACGCGGCGGCAAGCCGTCGTGACCACCACGGACGTCGGGGGACGCCAACCGTGGGCGGCGAGCGAGGGGGGGAAGTGAGAAGGAGGAGGCCTTCTCAGCGGGCGGCGGGGCTTCTCAGAAGCCCTCCGGCATTCTGAGAAGGTTCTCGCGTCTCCGGGGAAGGCTTGGAATCTTTCCGAGAAGGCCAGCGGCCTGCCCCCAAGCCTTATCAGAGGGGCCGGCCCTTCTCACTTCTCTCCCGGGCGCGCGCCGCCGAAGCTATACACCTGCACTGCTCTTGGCCAGGGTGATCCTGGGCTCAGGATGGGGCCTGGCCACGATCGGTGTTGGTATGCAGATTCAGGTGATGGCAAGCATGGACCAAGGGGGCGTGGATTAGCGGAGAAAGGAACGCTGTGAGGCCCTCTTCTCTCGCAAACAAGGAACAAATCATCTGGATCAGTGATCCGCTTTTTGCAAGATGGTTTGACAAAACACCCAATCCCAATCGAATGGTGATCACCTGAGGCCTGAGGGCCCGAGGCAATCGTATTCTGGGCGGAGAATCCGTAGCCCGCTCGGACGCTTCAGGACGCTCGGGGGAGGGAGGAGGAAAACAGGAAAAACAGGAACAACAAAAACAAACGTTGTTTACACAAGGAAAACAGCAACAAATAAAAAACAGCGACAGTCACAGAGTTCGCTGTTTGTTCTTGCTTTTCCTTGTGAAAACACACGGTGTTTACTGTTTTATTCCCAACCATCCTGTGGTGTTGGGTCCTCGTTTTGAAGAGACAGCGCCCCGCGTTCGTTCCTCCTCCCGCTTCTCCCTCCCTCTCCTCCCTCCTCCCCCTCATTGCCTTTGCTCTCGGCACACCCCTCACACGTTTCGTAACCTCATAGGGAGGTCCACCGAAGGTCCCAGTGGGGGTGCCCGCATGCGTCCCCCACGCCCAGCACAGCGCTTCGTGGCCCCATAGGGAGCTCCACCGAAGGCCCCAGTGGGGGTGCTTGCATGCGTCCCCCACGCCCACGACAGCGTTTCGTGGCCCCATAGGGAGCTCCACCGGGGTCCCCACGCCCAGGACAGCGTTTCGTGGCCCCATAGGGAGTCCCACCGAAGGCCCCAGTGGGGGTGCCCGCATGCGCCCCCCACGCCCAGGACAGCGCTTCGTAGCCCCGTAGGGAGCTCCACCGAAGGCCCCAGTGGGGGTGCCCGCATGCGTCCCCCACGCCCAGGACAGCGCTTCGTGGCCCCTATTGGGAGCTGCACCGTAGGCCTTGGTGCGGGTGCCCGCATGCGTCCCCCACGCCCAGGACAGCGCTTCGTGGCCCCATAGGGAGCTCCACCGAAGGGCCCAGTGGGGGTGCCCGCATGCGCCCCCCACGCCCAGGGCAGCGCTTCGTGGCCCCATAGGGAGCTCCACCGAAGGCCCCAGTGGGGGTGCCCGCATGCGTTCCCCACGCTCAGGACAGCGTTTCGGCGCCTTCCTCCCCCTCCTCCCTGCGTTTCACCCACCCAGTACAGCGCTTCGTGGCCTCATAGGGACCTCCACTGAAGGTCCCACTGGCACCGCCCGCATGCGCCGGCCACCGCCCAGCACAGCCCTTGCTCCCTGCGTTTCACCCACCCAGTACAGCGCTTCGTGGCCCCATCAGGAGCTCCACCGAAGGTCCAAGTGGCACCGCCCGCATGCGTCAGCCACCACCCAGCACAACCCTTGCTCCCTGCGTTTCACCCACCGTCCGCCACCACCCAGCACAGCCCTTGCTTCCTGCGTTTCACCCACCCAGTACAACGCTCTGTGGCCCCATAGGGAGCTCTGCGGTTCCCCCACCCAGGGCAGCGCTTCGTGGCCCCATAGGGTGCTCCACCGAAGGCCCCAGTGGCTGCTTTCGCATGCGGTTCCCCCACCCAGGGCAGCGTTTCGTGGCCCCATAGGGAGCGCCACCGAAGGTCCCAGCGGCTGCTCTCGCATGCGGTTCCCCCACCCAGGACAGCGCTTTGTGGCCCCATAGGGTGCTCCACCGAAGGCCCCAATGGCTGTTTTCGCATGCGGTTCCCCCACTCAGGGCAGCGCTTCGTGGCCCCATAGGGATATCCACTGAAGGCCTCAGCGGCTGCCCTCGCATGCGGTTCCCCCACCCAGGGCAACGCTTCGTGGCCCCATAGGGAGATCCACCGAAGGCCATAATGGCTGCTCTCGCATGCGGTGCCCTTACCCGTGGCATCGTTTCGTGGCCCCATAGGGAGCTTCACCGAAGGCCCCAGTGGCTGCTCTCGCATGCGGTTCCCCCACCCAGGGCAGCGCTTCGTGGCCCCATAGGGAGTTCCACCGAAGGCCCCAGTGGGGGTGCCCGCATGCGTGTCCCCGACCCAGGGCAGCGCTTCGTGGCCCCATAGGGAGCTGCACTGTAGGCCCCAGTGGCTGCTCTCGCATGCGGTTCCCGCACCCAGGGCAGCGCTTCGTGGCCCCATAGGGAGCTCCACCGTAGGCCCCACTGGGGGTGCCCGCATGCGGTTCCCTCACCCAGGGCAGCGCTTCGTGGCCCCATAGGGAGCTGCACCGTAGGCCTTGGTGGGGGTGCCCGCATGCGTGTCCCCGACCCAGGGCAGCGCTTCGTGGCCCCATAGGGAGCTCCGCCGAAGGCCCCAGTGGGGGTGCCCGCATGCGGTTCCCGCACCCAGGGCAGCGCTTCGTGGCCCCATGGGGAGCTCCACCGAAGGCCCCAGTGGGGGTGTTCGCATGCGGTTCCCGCACCCAGGGCAGCGCTTCGTGGCCCCATAGGGAGCTCCACCGAAGCCCCAATGGGGGTGTTCGCATGCGGTTCCCCCACCCAGGGCAGCGCTTCGTAGCCCCCATAGGGAGCTCCCAGTTGGGGTGCCCGCGTGCTCTACCCCACCCAGGGCAACGCTTCGTTTCCCCATGGGGAGCTCCACCGAAGGCCCCAGTGGGGGTGTTCGCAGGCGGTTCCTCACCCAGGGCAGCGCTTCATGGCCCCATGGGAGATTTCACCGAAGGCCTTGGTGGGGGTGTTCGCACGCGCTACCCCCACCCAGGGCAACGCTTCGTGGTCCCATGGGGAGCTTCACCGAAGGTACTTGTGGGGGTGTTCGCACGCGTCTTCCCTACCCAGGACACCGCTTCGTGGTCCCATAGAGGGTCCCATAGAGGGCCCCACCGAAGCCCCCACCCAGGAACGTTTTGTTGTCCCACAGGGAGCTCCATCGAAGGCCCCAGTGGCTGCGCCCGCATGCGGGGCGCCTGTGGGGCCCGCAGCTTCATGTTCGAAACCGAACGAATATTCAGTTCTCGTAGCTGTCGTCACCGTTGTGCTCTTCGGAGGGCGACTCGCGCGACCCATGATGTGAGGAGGAGGAACAGGAATTGAGGAGGACGACGGCGGCCCGGCGCAGGGGGAAACCCTCCATCGAAGGCCCCAGTGGTTGCGCCCGCATGCGGGGCGCCTGGGGGGGCCGCAGTTTCATGTTCGAAACCGAACGAATATTCAGTTTTCGTTATCAGACCAATCGTCTTCTTCCGTGTTGCGCACCCCGCCACACATCGGCACGCCCCTCACACGGTTCTTGGCCTCATAAGGAACTCCACCGAAGGCCCCAGTGGCAGGGTCCGCATGTCGCCCCCCGCCCGCTTCGGCACACCATTTACACGCTTCGTGGCCCCATCAGGAGTTTCACCGAAGGCCCAGGTGGCAGGGTTCGCATGCGTCCGCACCACCCAATACAGCGCTTCGTGGCCCCATGGGGAGCTCCACTGAAGGCCCCAGTGGTTGCATTCGCAGGCGTCTCCCCACCCAGGACACCATTTGGTGGCCCCACAGGGAACCCCACCGAATGCGCTGCTCACAAAGACGGTACTCACAACTGCATATGGCTGGGTCTTGTGCCAGGCTAATGGTTTTGTTTGTGTTTTCCTCTTCAGCCTTCCTGGGCCCAGGGCGCCGCCATTGTAGATCACCCCACAATGGAAGCCCTGTTGGAATGGCCGCCACACAAGGATGCCCGCTACAAAAGGATTCAAAATGTGAAGGGCACTGCAGATCCCCCACAGTTGAAATCCTTGTGTAAGGTCGCCACACAAGGAATGCGTTTGTAAAGGCTGTTGCACAATGGTTTTAAGTGTGGAACGTACGCACAAGAAGAATACCGACAGTCACAGGTCTTCCTAGCTGTTTCCTATTTTCCATCTGAAAACACAAGTGTTTACCCGTTGTGCATGGTTGCCCCGTTCTCCTCCTTAGCGCTCTTGGGCTCAAGGTGTCGCCACTGCAGATCCCCCCACAAGGGAAACTTTTTTTGCAAGGCCGCCACACAATGAACTAGTGTGCAAACGTTACAAAAGGATGATATGTGTGAAGGCCACTGCAGATCCCCAACACTTGAAATTCTTGTGTAAGGTCGCTACACAAGGAATCCGCTTGTAAAGGCTGCTACAAAAGGGCTACTACTGTGGAACGCCAGCACCATAATAATATCGACAGTCACAGGTCTGACTAGCTGTTTCTTATTTTCTGTGTGACAACAATTGTTTTTGTTATGTATGACATGCTTTTCCCCATTTAGCGCTCCTGGGTTCAAGGTGCCGCCACTGCACATCACCCCACAATGGGAACCTTGTTTTTTGTAAGACCGCCGAAAATTAATTTGGGTTGCAAAAGGTTGTTGCAAAAAACGGGTTCTAAGTGTGAAGGCCACTGCAGATCCCCCCAATTCGAAGTCCGTGCGTAATGTCGCTACACGAAAAACCGCTGGTAAAGGCTGCTATACAAGGATTACTAGTACGGAGCGTCTGCGCCTGAAGAAAACCGACAGTCACAGGTAGTCCTAGATGTTTCATGCTGTTTCCAGGTGAAAACATATGTTGTTTCCTGTTCTGCTTTCCTCTCCTACCTTTCTTGGGCTCAAAGTGCCGCCACTGCAGACCCCCCCACAATGAAAACGCTGTTCTAAGCCCGCCACACAAGGAATTATGTTGTAAAGACTGCTACAACGGATTCGAAATGTGAAAGCCACTGCAGGGCACCCGCAGTTGGAATCCTTGTGTAACGCCGCCACAACAGAAGTCCGTGTGTAAAGGCTGCTACAAAAGGATTTTAAACGTGGAGCGTCTGCACCATAAGAGTACCGACAGTCACGGGTATTCCTAATTGGTTCTTGTTTTCTTGTGGAAACACATGTTGTGTTTCCAGTGTTTTAGCTGTCCTGGGCTCAAGGCGCCGCCACTGCATATCCGCCCACAATGGAAACGTTTTTTGTAAGGCCGCCACACAAGGATTCCCTTTTGTAATGGCTGCTACAAAAGGATTATAAGTGTGAAGGCCATTGCAGATCCCCCACACTTGAAATCCGTATGTAAGGTCGCCACACAAGGAATGCGTTTGTAAAGGCTGCTGCACACTGATTTAAATTGCGGAACGCCTGCACCATATGCCGACAGTCACAGGTCTTCCTAGTTGTTTCCGGTTTGCCCTATGAAAAAACACAAGTTCTGTCTGTTTTGCATGGGTTTCTTCTTTAGCTTTCCTGGGCTCAAGGCGCCGCCACTGCAGATCCCCCCACAAGGGAAACCCTTTTTGTAAGGCCGCCAAACAATGAATTCTTTTGCAAAAGGCTGCTACACAAGGATTCTAAGTGTGAAGGCCACTGCAGATCCCCCACGCTTGAAATCCTTGTGTAGGGTCGCTACACGAGGAATCCGTTTGTAAAGGCTGCTACAAAAGGATTACTAGTGTGGAACGTCTGCACAAGAAGAATGCCGACGGTCACAGGTCTGCCTAGTTGTTTCCTATTTGTCCCTGCGAAAACAGACGTTTGTTCATGTTTTTCCTGTTTTGCCCGTTTTCCTCTCTACCTTTCTTGGGCTCAAGGCGCCGCCACTGCAGATCCCCCCACAATGAAAACGCTGTTGTAAGGCTTGCACAAAAGGATTCCCTTTGTAAAAGTTGCTGCAAAATGTTTTTAAGTGTGAAAGCCATTGCAGATCCCCCTCACTTGAAATTATTGTGTGAGGTCGGCACATAGGGAATCCGTTGTGTGAAGGCTGCTACACAAGGATTTTAAGTGTGGAACGCCTGCACCACAAAAGTACTGACAGTCACAGGCTCTTTCCATGTGGCAACACATGAATTGTCATGTTTGTTCCTGTTCTAATGATGCTGCTTATGATGGAGATGATGATGATGGTGATGATGATGATGATGATGATGATGATGATGACGACGCGGATGCGCACGTTGCGAGACAAGAGGGCCTCACAGCGTCCCCCTCTCGGATTAGCGACGGGCCCCGTTTCCATAGGGAATCGCAGATGTTCACCGCCGAGCGAGGCGGCACCGGCCACATCTTGAGGAGGGCACCTCCCCCGATCCATGGATTTGGCGACCGCGCGCCAAATCCATGGATCGCTAATCCATGTGTGCGCGCCCCCAATAGATGCGGTCCTCCCAGGACGGCCGCTTGCATTCATTTCTGCCGCAAGTCATAGTGGGGGCAATCATGGACGGTCGGGTCAACGCCACCGACCCAGTGAAGGTGATTATGGAGTCACCAATAGAAAGCAGCTACAACCCCGTCGTGCACAGCTTCGATGCTGCTGTCGTTTTTATGGACGCCTCTGGCTTTACGTCCTTGACCGAGAAGCTAGCTCTGCAGAGCAATGGCGCAGAGGAGATCGGCAAGTGCATCAATAGCTTTTTCACCCCATTGATAGGCATAGTTACTGATGCTTAAGACTTCGCCAACTCCGCCGACTCTCTCCCGCGACACGAGAAGCAAAAATTACCAACCGCATCGCCATGGGACTTTGGGGGGGGTCTGCATGCGAACCACTGAACTCAAGGGAGGCAAAACCACCCAGACCAGACAATCGGCATTTCCTAAACGGCCCTGGGCGTTTACTAAAGGCCCTACCCTGTTTGATTCCTTCTTTGGGTGCGTTTACTAAACGGCTTCGCGTGTCGGGGTGGTTATTGTCGGGGTGGATTTTCTGCGCTCTACTTGGGGGGGGGGTCTGCGTGCGAACCGCTGAACCCTCGCGCTTCTTGCAGCGCGCTAGTGGCCCAATCAGCCGCAGCGCTGGACGGGCAGCGTGCGCCCTGCGCGGCGCTCGCGGGGCTCGTGGCCCAGGCCTCCCACGAGTCGTGCTCTGGCATTGGCGGCGTGGGCCCCACAGGGCCCTCGGCCCACTGCCCGCTCGGGAGCCTCGAGGGGCGGGGCTGCAGGCAGACGAGGGCCGGCCAGAGCGCCAGATCCTGCAGGACCCTGCAGGGCCAGGGGTGCACTGACCCGGGCTTGCGTGCAGGATCTTGCAGGGCCCTGCAGGATCTTGCAGGATCCTGGAAGGCCCGACTGACCCGGGCCCGTAGATCCCCGACCCGCGGCCAGCGTGTCCTCGCGGACGGTGCCCTTTTCTGCCCTCGGGGCCCGCAGGCGGCCCCAGAGGCCGACGCAACCAAGAGAGCAAGAGAGAGATGGCCGTCGCCATGGTCACGCGCCCTCCAGAAATCGGGGGCAGTCGCGCGGGCAGTCACGAGGGCGTCTCGAGGAGAGCGCGCGGATCTCGCATGTTGCGTGAAGCGGCCCCGCCAGTCTGGCCACCTCCCCTCAGCACGCGCCGCGTTCAGCCCCTCACCCTCGGATGGCGTCCTGCCCCTTCTTTCCATCCACGACCGCCCCCTCTTCCTCCTCCTCCTCCTCCTCCTCCTCCTCCTCCTCCTCCTCCTCCTCCTCCTCCTCCTCATCATCCTCATCCTCATCCTCATCCTCATCCTCCTCCTCTCCTATCATGTCCTATCCGATCCGATCCGATCCTACCATCATCAGCTTCATCATCAACAACAACAGCATCATCAGCATCATCGACCTCATATGCATAATCAGCATCAGCAGCGTCAGCACCATCATCATCAGCATCATCGTCAGCATCATCGTCAGCATCATCATCATCATCATCATCATCATCATCATCATCATCATCATCATTATCAGCATCATCATCATCAGCAGCATCAGCATCATCATTATCAGCATCAGCATCATCATCATCAGCATCATCATCATCATCATCATCATCATCATCATCATCATCATCATCATCATCGTCGTCATCATCATCATCGTCAGCATCGTCAGCATCGTCATCATCAGCAGCATCACCACCATCACCATCACCATCACTAGCACGATCGCCATCACTAGCACCATGAACATCCGCATCCACATCCTCAGCCGTCTCCTCCTCAGCATCATCATCATCATCAGCATCAGCATCATCATCATCATCATCATCATCATCATCATCATCATCACCATCAGCAGCAGCATCTCGTCCTTCTCCCCTCTTCCCTCACCGTTCCCCTCAGCATCATAGAATCCTTCCTCCTCCCCTGCCTTTGCGCGGGGTGCGCAAGAGAGGGAGATATTTACCCTGGCGACGTACCCACCCCCCGCGCAATGCGGGGCATGAGTAGCTTGGGAGATGTTAGACGGAGGTGGTGACGTGGCGTGGGCGCATATATTTCTGCGCAGCCCCCAAGGATTGCGAGGTCCCGCTCAGATCTAGGTGGTGCCTCACTCCGCTGGACCCGCCACAAGCCTTCGAAAGTAGCGACGGTTTCGCAGATCGCAGCCCCCCAAGGACGGCGAGGTCCCGCTCAGATCTGCGCGGTGCCTCATTCCGCTAGACCCGCCAGCAGCTCTTGAAAGTGGCGACGGTTTCGCAGATCGCAGCCCCCCAGGGACGTTGAGGTCTCGCTCAGATCTGCGCGGTGCCCCACTCCGCTGGACCCACCAGCAGCCTTCGAAAGTGGTGACAGATTCGCAGATCGCTACGCTGCACCCCCAAGCAGCCCTCGAAAGTGGCGACAGTGTCGCAAATCGCAGCCCCCCAGGGATGACGAGATCTAATGTGGAACTGCGGCGGCTACCCACTACTGCTGCCCCCCAAGCAGCCCTCGAGAATTGCGACGGATTCGCGAATCGCAGCCCCCCAGGGATGGCGAGGTCTACTTTGGATCTGCGGCGGCTACAACCCACTATGCTGTCCCCCCCCAGCAGCCTTCGAAAGTGGCGACGGTTTCGCAAATCGTAGCCCCCAGGGATGGCGAGGTCTACTTTGGGTTTGCGGCGGCTACCCACCATGCTGTCCCCCCCCAGCAGCCCTCGAAAGCGGCGACAGTTTCGCAAATCGCAGCCCCCCAGGGATGGCGAGATCTACTTTGGATCTGCGGCGGCTACCCACTATGCTGCCTCCCCCCCAGCAGCCCTCGAAAGCGGCGACAGTTTCGTAAAGCCCAGCCCCCCCAGGGATGGCGAGGTCTACTTTGGGTCTGCGGCGGCTACCCACTATGTTGTCCCCCCCAGCAGCCCTCGAAAGTGGCGACGGTTTCGCAAATCGCAGCCCCCCAGGGATGGCGAGGTCTACTTCGGGTCTGCGGTAGCTACCCACCATGCTGCCCCCCCCAGCAGCCCTCGAAAGTTTCGCAAATCGCAGCCCCCCAGGGATGGCGAGATCTACTTTGGATCTGCGGCGGCTACCCACCATGCTGTCCCCCCAGCAGCCCTCGAAAGTTGCGACAGTTTCGCAAATCGTAGCCCCCCAGGCATGGCGAGGTCTACTTTGGGTCTTCGGCGGCTACCCACTATGCTGTTCCCACCAGCAGCCATCGAAAGTGGCGACATTGTCGCAGATCGCAGCCCCCCAGGGACGGCCGCTCAGGTCTGCGCGGTGCCTCACTCCGCTGGACCCACCAGCAGCCATCGAAAGTGGCGACAGCGTCGCAGATCGCAGCCCTCCAGGGACGGCGAGGTCCTGGGGGGCAGGAGGCGAGAAAGCGGCGAGAGGCAGGAGGCGGGAGGCGGGAGGAGGAGAAGACGCGACCGCAGCGCTCTATTCAAAACAAATACCCAACCAAGGAGGGCTGGGAATAAAGGGATCCACGGCCTCCAGTCCGAGCGGCACGCCTCGCACGCACCCCCCCCCGGAGGGTGCCTCCTCTTCCCCCCGGGAGTGCACTGCAACTCTCAGGGCAACGTGCAGCCCAAAGCGAGTTCCTCATCCGTGGCTTTGTCAAGCAAGCACCAGCTTTCCCAATAGGTACCGGCTCCGGCTTCGCGCCGAAATGTTGCAGTGGCAGACAGTTCGATGAAGCATGCAAGAGCAGCGGCAACGGAGAGAGGGGGAGAGGAAAACGGGAGGGATGGCAGTCACTCCGAGCCGTGTGTTGGCGTTAGCGCTCATTCATTTCCCTCCGGGCTCGCCTCGCGACCCCCGTAGGGGTCTGGCGTATTTTGGCGGCGACATACTGAAGTTCAGCGGCGACGCGGTGACGATTCTGTGGCCCATACCAGAAGACCAGAAAGCGCCACAAGAATAAGTTGTCGGAAGCCCTCGCAGATCTTCTGGGCCTGCGCTGGGCCTCCCTCCCCACACCCCTCAGGGGCTACGATCGGGGCGGATAGGCCCAGGGGGGAACGTATGGGCCCCCAGTAGCCCATCCATCGCCGATAGGCGCCTGATAGCCCACCCCGCCCAGCAACGTGCAGCATCGTTGTCGAGGGCCTATCGGCGATGCATCGCCAATTCCAAGTCCATGTTCCCCCCTGAGCTAGCCCCCCTCCTGTCGTTCCCCCTGAACCCAATCTCCGGCGCGCTCCGCGTGCCAGGTGCGGGGAAGGGGGATCAGGGCCGACCCGAGGACTCCGCGCGGACCTCCGAAAGCTTACGTCTGCGCCCAAAATCTTTGGGATATGTCGGAAGGGGCCCGGGATGTTTCGTAAGGGGCCCGATGTTCCGCACGGAGGTTTTTCGCTCGTTTCCCTCTGGCGTTCCTCGCGCATCCAGGCGCAACTGAGGCCAAAGGGGAGCTTCGCTCCTGACCTGAGGCACCCTGTGACAAGACCTCAGCCGTGTGCCGCCTTCTGGTCTTCGGCGTACGGCCAGAGCTCGGAGGCGGCAGCGAGAGCGGGACCACGGCGAAGTGGTCCCCGGACGCGGCCACCGCGGTCGCCGCGGCTTGCAGGTGTTGCTTGGAGGTGCAGTCCCAGGTCGGCAGCTTCGGGAGCTCAGGGGGCCCCTGCTGCCCAGAGTACGAAAAGGTACCAGTGCCGCTGCCCTTGCCTCGTTGTCCTTTTTTTTTTCGGTCTCCTGGGAAGCCCTCGTCGCCACAGCTGGGCTCAAGTCGAGGTTCTGGCCAGAACGCCCTGGGAGAGTTCTGGGGAGTAGCAGTATTGGTGCCTTTTGGCTTCCTCAGCTGCGCCAACCCACCCAGTCTTCTCAGAGCCCTGAGATGTTTTGCACGCCGTAGGTTGGTTCACACCGGGCGCCTTCGCCCAGCTTCAGGCTCCAGGACCCTCGCGGGCTGGTGAAGCTCGAGGGGTACAGCTGAAAGAGGGGTATGCAGCTGCGGCCGTACCGTCGAGCATCTGATTAAGAAACCTCCCCTCTAAAAGCTGGGCCGGCGTTTCTCAGACAACTCGCCGGAAAGCTGGCCCAGTTTCTTGAGCACGTTCGCCCCTCCAGCGTGAACAACAGCAACAACAACAGCAACAGCAGCAGCAACAACAACAACATCAACAACCACAGCAACAGCAACAGCAACAGCAACAGCTGCAACAACAACAACAACAATTACCCCAGTGCGACCCTACCTAGAAGTTGGAGCCCCTAGGAAAGTTGGGCGCTGCGTAATGGGGGGGTCATAAATGGGGGGGGCGGCGAGGGTGGTCCGAAAAGGTACCCAAACGGTACCTAAACGAGCCCCCTGGGGCTCCGGAGGGGCCCGAAAGGGGCACGAAAGGGGACCGTTTCTGACCCCCCCATTTATGACCCCCCCATGAAGCCACGCCCAAGAAAGCAGCATTAGTTGCTATGCTATGCCATGCTATGCTGCGCTATGCTATGCTATGATATGCTATGATATGAGATGCTGCGCTATGTTATGCTATGCTATGCTATGTTATGGCATGCTAAGCTACGATATGTCATGCTGCGCTGTGCTGTGCTAAGCTATGCTATGCTATGCTGTGCTGTGCTATGCTATGCTGGGCTATGCTATGCTATGCTATGCTCTGCTGTCCTTGGCTATGGTATGCTATGCTATGCTATGCTATGCTATGCTAATGCAGCGCTGCGCTATGCTAAGCTAAGCTAAGCGAAGCTAAGCTAACCCTTTAGGCAGAGCCTAGGTCGGGGGCGCCACCTGAACCCAGGGGGAACCGCGGGGCGGATACTGGGGCAACCGCGGGGCGGATCCTGGGGGAACCGCCCGGGGCGATATCCACTGCCCAGTCCCTTTAAGCTAGAGGGTAAAAACCCTTCTAGGCAGAGCCTAGGTAGGGAACAACAACAACAACAACAACAACAACAACAACAACAATAAGTTTAAGAATGTTCGCCCTTATATGCTCGAGTGTCCAATAACGCGTATTTCCCAAACCCTCGATACCCGCCCTCTTCGTCTTCGATCGAACCCCTTTTGGGGGGTACACCGTTCTACCCTGCAGGCCGGGCCCCGGCAAGCGGCGGGGCGGCTGCGGACCGTCGGCCTGGCCAGCGGCAGCGCTGATCGGCGGGGCGGCCGCGGACCGTCGACCCGACCCCAAGAGGGACGGACAGGGGACCGACCACGACGACGACGACGACGACGATGACGACAACGATGACGACGACGACGACGACGACGACGACGACGACGACGACGACGACGACGACGTCGACGGCGACGACGACGGCGACGACGACGACGGCGACAACGACGACGAGAGAAAGCGAGAGCGAGAGATAACGACAGCAGGGCCGCGAAGGACACGAAGTAGGCCACGAAGGGCGACAGCGGGGACACGAAGGGAATGGGTATGGGGCCACGAAGAGCGCGAACGAGCGGGGGCCACGAAGGGCAAATAATGCGGGGCCACAGATGGCAACGATGGGGCCACTGAGGGTAGCGACTGGGCCACGTAGGACAGTGAGGGGGCCACAAACGGCGACAGCGGGGCCACGAAGGGCACGCACATGGGGCCACAACGGGCGCGAACGAGCGGGTGCCACGAAGGGCATACGTATTTTGGGCGGCGGATGGCAAGGACGGGGCCACGAAGGGCAGCGAGGGGGCCACGAAGGGCGACAGCGGGGCCACGACGGGCATGCATATGGGGCCACCGCGGGCGCGAACCAGCGGGGGCGGCCACGAATGGCATACATATATGGGGCCACGAACGGCAGCGAAGGGGCCACGAAGGGTTGCAACGTGGCCACGACGGGGAGCGAGGGGGCCACGAAGGGCTGCAACGTGGCCACGAAGGGGAGCGAGGGGGCCACGAAGGGCTGCAACGGGGCCACGCAGTGCTGCAACGGGGCCACGAAGAGGAACGAGGGGACCACGAAGGGCTGCAACGGGGCCACGAAGGGCAGCGAGGAGGCCACGAAGGGCTGCAACGTGGCCACGAAGGGGAGCGAGGGGGCCACGAAGGGCTGCAACGGGGCCACGAAGGACAGCGACATCCCGATTCCTAGGTACTCTGTGAGGGAGTCCTAAGCGTGAGCGCGACTCCTGGGTGCCTGGGTGTCGGGAGCGCGGCGCTGTTAGTAAGTTGCAGGGGGTTCAACGCAAGGGCGCTATTCGTGAGCAAATTTCAAGCAAGTCTCCAGAGCGCCGGGAAAGCGATTCCTGAATAAAATGCGAGGAGGTCTCGGGCGGGAGCGGGGGTCCTGGCCAAATTGTGAGGAAGTCTCAGGCGGGTGTCGTTGTTGTTGTAACCCGGGGGCCAGGGGTTTGACATTCAAGATTTCCCCTGGCAAAAAAACAGGGTGCGAGCGTCGACGGGCACCGTTTGATTGAGAAAAGCAATATACACCAGCGGGGGGATCAACACTAAATTATACCTAAGAAATGAGAGTTCAACAACAACAACAACAACAACAACAACAACAACAACAACAACAACAACAACAACAACAACAACAACAATTACTAGCACGTGGGGACACTCCGTTCTCACCAGTGCCAGGGTTTTCATAGGAGGCGGGCAATACCCCCACTTTGTGGGGGGGCCGGTTCAAGCTCTACCAAATTTCCAAACGACTCTTCGCCACCACCCACACCCAGCTTCCCGCCCTATGACGTTCGGACACTTCACTTCGTGGCATGCGGACGACCGTGGCTACTATTCAGGGCCCCGCGGCCGACGACGACGGCGTGCGCGCGCGAAGAAAAAACGAATGTGTCCCGCATGGTATTATTTGACAGGGATGATGGCCCTGGCAGGTGCGCAACCGTTGTTGCAGAAGTTCGAAAAAGTTGCTCGCAAAAGCCCGTTTGACAGAAATGTTTAAAAAGTGTTGGGTTTCCTACGAATCCGCAAGAGCGCGCGGGATGAAATTTTGACATTCTTTTTTGAAAAAAAAAAAAAAAAAAAAAAAAAAAAAAAACATTGGTTTTTTGATGTTTTTATGTTAAAATCGCTACGAAAACTAAGGTTTTGGAAGGATTTCGTCTTGCGCGCGCGAATGTCCACTTTACCTTATTTTTTGCAAGGGATTCTTGAAGTTTGGTTATGTTAGAACAAGAAATGTCCACTTTAGCTTATTTTTTGCAAGGGAAAACCGATCGTAACAACACAACCGGATCCGGACCAACCCGTTTTGCCTGAGACTTCCTCACGAAAATGATGAAAATGAGGCTGCGGCCTAGGCGCGGCGGGGGGGTCGTGCACCAGGGGTCCCAACAATAATTATTCTTTAGAAGTAATAATGTTCAACAACAACAACAACAACAACAACAACAACAACAACAACAACAACAACAGCAGCAGCAGCAGCAGCAGCAGCAACAACAACAATACTAAATTTAAGAACGTTCGCGTTTATATGCTCGAATGTCCAATAACGCGTATTTCCCAAACCCTCGATACCCGCCCTCTTCGTCTTCGATCGAAACCTTTTTCGGGGGTATACCTTTCTTCCCTGCCGGCCGGGCCCCGGCAAGCGGCGGGGCGGCCGCGGACCGTCGGCCTGGCCAGCGGCAGCGCTGATCGGCGGGGCGGCCGCGGACCGTCGACCCGACCCCAAGAGGGACGGACAAGGGACCGACCACGACGACGACGACGACGACGACGACGACGACGTCGAAGACGACGGCGACGACGACGACGGCGACGACGAGCGAAAGCGAGAGCGAGAGAGAACGACAGCAGGGCCACGAAGGGCACGAAGTAGGCCACGAAGGGCGACAGCGGGGACACGAAGAAAATGCGTATGGGGCCACGAAGAGCGCCAACGAGCGGGGGCCACGAAGTGCAGATAATGCGGGGCCACAGAAAGCAACTATGGGGCCACTGAAAGTAGCAACTGGGCCACGTAGGACAGCGAGGGAGACACAAATGGCGACAGCGGGGCCACGAAGGGCACCCACATGGGGCCACAACGGGCGCGACTCCTGGGTGCCTGGGTGTCGGGAACGCGGCGCTTGAGCAAATTGCAGGAAATCCCAACGCAAGGGCATTCTTCAGTAAGTTACAAGCAAGTCTCCAGCGAGAGCGCGACTCCAGAGCGCCGGGAGAGCGATTCCTGAATAAATTGTGAGGAAATCCGAAGCGAGAGCGCGATTCCTGAATGAAAGGCGAGGAAGTCTCGGGCGGGAGCGGGGGGCCTGGCTAAATTGTACGGAGGTTTCAGGCAGGAGCCGTTGTTGTTGTAACCCGGGGGCCAGGGGCTCAGTTTGAGCATCAAGACTTTCCTTGTCGAAAAAACAGGGTGCGAGCGTCGATGGGGCACTTTTGATTGAGAAAAAACAGTATGCACCGGTGGGTGGATCAACAATAATTATATTTCAGAGATGAGAATTCAACATCAACAACAACAACAATAATTTTAAGAACGTTTGCCTTTATATGCTCGGGTGTCCAATAACGCGTATTTCCCAAACCCTCGATACCCGCCCTCTTCGTCTGCGATCGAACCCCTTTTGGGGGGTATACCGTTCTACCCTGCAGGCCGGGCCCCGGCAAGCGGCGGGGCGGCCGCGGACCGTACCCCAAGAGGGACGGACAGGGGACCGACCACGACGACGACGACGACGACGACGACGACGACGACGACGACGACGTCGAAGACGGCGGCGACGACGACGACGACGGCGACGACGAGGGAAAGCGAGAGCGAGAGAGAACGACAGCAGGGCCGCGAAGGACACGAAGTAGGCCACGAAGGGCGACAGCGGGGACACGAAGAAAATGCGTATGGGGCCACGAAGAGCGCCAACGAGCGGGGGCCACGAAGTGCAGATAATGCGGGGCCACAGAAAGCAACATGGGGCCACTGAGGGTAGCAACTGGGCCACGTAGGACAGTGAGGGAGACACAAATGGCGACAGCGGGGCCACGAAGGGCATGCACATAGGGCCACAACGGGCGCAACTCCTGGGTGCCTGGGTGTCGGGAGCGCGGCGCTTGGGCAAATTGCAGGAAATCCCAACGCAAGGGCATTCTTCAGTAAGTTACAAGCAAGTTTCCAGCGAGAGCGCGACTCCAGAGCGCCGGGAGAGCGATTCCTGAATAAAGTGTGCGGAAGTCCCAAGCGAGAGCGCGATTCCTGCATAAAATGCAAGGAAGTCTCGGGCGGGAGCGGGGGTCCTGGCTTAATTGTAAGGAAGTCTCAGGCGGGAGCCGTTGTTGTTGTAACCCGGCGGCCAGGGGCCCAGTTTGAGCATCAAGACTTTCCTTGTCGAGAAAACAGGGTGCGAGCGTCGAGGGGCACACTTTGATTGAGAAAAAACAATATGCACCGGTGGGGGGATCAACCATAATTGTTTTTTTTTCAAAAGTGAGAACTCAACATCAACATCAACAACAACAACAGCAGCAACAGCAGCAGCAGCAACAGCAACAACACCAACCACAACACCAACAAAAACAGCAACAGCAGCAACAACATCAACAAATGCAATGAAAACAACAACAACAACAACAACAACAGCAACAACAACAATATGTTTAAGCCTGTTCGCTCTTATCTGCTCGCGTGTCATTCAGTATGCATATCCCAAACCGTGGATACCCGCCCTCTTCGTCTTCGATCGTACCCCCTTTTTCGGGGGGGTATATTCATTCACTGCCACGCGTGGTTGGTAAAGCCCTTGAAAACGAAGGGCAACAGATAACGGGGGAGAATGCGGACGAAGGGATCGGAGGAAGGGAGGGGAGGAGCAAGAAGGAGGGAGGATTATGATTTGCGCCGCGAATGGCGATTCAGCTTGCGCCATGGCTTGCGCCAGCCACTCCAACACAGGTTAGCAATAAGTTTCGCCATGGGTCGCGCCATAAACAGCGCCACGTACCACCCCCTGGAAAGAACATATCGTGGATACCCCCACGGGGGACAGCTGCGAACTGGTGTCAGTGTCAGAAACAAATTTCGTGGAACCCTGAAAAGAAGCGGGATGTTGGGAGAGTGGGGCGGAAGGATAATGAGAATTGCAGAGGTGTTGGGAGGAACGCAGGAGCCGCAAGTGAGAGCGCGATTCTTCAATAAATTGTGAGGAAGTATCAAGCGGGAGCCGCGATCCGGCGGTAAATTGCAAGGAAGTCCCAAGAGAGAGCGAAACTCTTCAATAAATTGTGAGGAAGTATCAGGCGGGAGCCGCTGTTGTTGCAAACCGGGGGCCAACGACATAGAAGATTGTCCTTGAAAAAAAAGTGCGAGCCTCGGAAAGGGCAATTCAATCGAACAAATACAATGTGCACCGGACGGGGGGAATCAACAATAATTATTCAGGAGAAGTGAGAGTTCAACAACAACGACGACAAGAACAGCAACAACAACAACAGCAACATTAGCAACAGCAGCAACAACAACAACAGCAACAGTAGCAGCAACAACAACAGCACCAGCAACAACAGCAACAGCAACAGCAACAGCAGCAACAACAGCAGCAACAGCAGCAGCAGCAACAACGAATGGCCCAGGCGGCCTTCTCAAGAAATGTCCAGGGAGCTGGCCCAGATGTTTGACATGCTGATATGCTTGATCGCGCTGATGGCTGCAAGTCCCCGCGATGTTGCAGTGGCCCACGCCGTCGGATTTCGGTGGGCAGGAGCCCTGACCTTCCTCGGTGCCAAAAAATAGCATTCCAGACCTATTGATCTATCTGGACTGCTTCAAACCTCGACAGGAATTAGGACGTCGACGCGCTTGTGCTATTTTTTAGCCCTCCTGGAAGGCCAGGGAGGCTGCTGGGAGGGCGGGGGCGGTGGCACGCGAGCTCTGCGCCTGCCGTCGGCGCCCAGCTGGTCTGGGCACGCTCCTCGGGGAAGGGCCCCGCCGCCTGGCGTCGGGGGGGGGCGCAGGGCGCGGAAGGGCCCCCCCTGCCCTCGGGGAAGCCAACGCCAGATTCGCCCTGGCCCCGAGCAGCAGCCGCTCCGAGCCAACCCCTCTGGGGCCCCAGAGGGCTCCCCACGCAAGCCCCAGAGCGACTCGGGTTGACCCAAAAAGGGGCCCAGCGACAAGGGAGTGGTGCAATAGATCTGGTGCGGTAGATTTGCGGGGTTGCAATACATGTGGGGCGTGCCATATGTACGCTCCAGGGCGCAAATGGACTGCTGGATTTTCGCGTGCAATACATTACTTGCCATACAATGCAACACAATTCTCCGGCGCAGTACACTTGCAAGACAATTGCCCCAAATCTATATTGCACCACCCCCTTTCAGCTGGGCCCCCTTTTGGGTCACCCAAAAAGCCAGCGTTGCGTGCAGCAGGTTCCATAACCCTCTCCCCCTTGTTGCCCTCCCCATGAGGTCCTGGCGTTTCAGTGCTTTCGAGCCGGGCGTTCTCGCCTCTTTCCGGGCCCCGGGACCCTCACAGAGCGACCCGGGCCGAAAAACGACTCAGAAAGGTAGGGTCTAGGGCTCCGGGCGTGCTCTCGTTCGATGTTGCAATCTGTTCGCAACGTCGGATCTCGGGGCCCCCCCAGCTTCACTGGCTTGGGCCTCCCCCTGGGAGTCGCTGCTGGGGGAGGGCCCTCCCCCCGCCTCCGATCGTTCCTCCGTTCCGTTTCGCCCGGGGCTGTGGCCCACGCGCGGCGCACCGCCGCGCGGCGCCGTGACCGCTCGGCGCAGCGTCGGGCGGGGGCGGCCGGGCGGGGCCAGCCGCCGCAGCGGCAGGGCGCAGTGCTCGGACTGCGCCCACGTCCTGTTCCCGATCATCCGCCCCGATCTTCCGCCCCTCGTGATCGTCGTCCGTCATCGTCGCCGCCGTTGCAGTCGTCGAGGTGGTCGTCGCCGTCGTCGGTCGAGGTTCGAGGGCCGAGGTTGAAGGGGCGGTTTCGCCCCCGTTGGGGCCTGCATGGGCTTCTACGGCTGTTCGGGTGAGGCTCCTCGAAGCCCTGCTAGGAGGGGCAGGGGATGTCGCAGGTAGGGTGCAGCCGCCAGGAGGAAGGGCACAGGCGGGGCGTGATCCCCGCAGGCCCTCGATGATCCTTGGGACGCCTGTCAGCCCAGTGTGCGCGTTGCCCCGTTCAGCTCCGCCGATGACTCGCAGCCTGTGGCGGCACACACCACACCGCCTGCGCCCTGTTGAGGGGCTCAGCACGCGCTGGCGGCAGCACACCAGCTCCAGGGGTCACCGAGGCACGCCACCTGTGCCTCGGGCAGGAAGGGCACAGGCGAGGCCGGAGGAGCCGAGGAGGGCCTTGACTTGGCGGCCGCAGCGCTGGGCCCCCCAGGAGCACCCCGGTCGAGGGTCTCTCGCTCACGCTCCACATCGGCGTGGGGGTCGGGCCGCTGAACTTGCTGCAGCTGGGGGGCCTCATGAACCGCTGGGAGTACTGCGCCGCCGGGCCTCCGCTGGAGGAGGTGGCCGTGGCTGAGCCGCTGGCCAAGTCTGGCGAGACGGTCGCTGGCGGCGCACAGAACGCCCACCACCTCTCGCTGGGAACAGAATCACGACGGCGGGTTCGGGGCGATTCGGGTTCACGGGGACCCCCGCCAGGCCCCAGGAGTGTCAAGAAAAGATTCAGGATGAAAAGCTGGTCCCGGGGAGCAGGTCCAGATCTCAGGGGGTCCACGCTGCGAGTAAAAATCAGGACGTCGGAGTTCTAGGAGGGGGGCAGCGCGGTGGGGGGGGGAAGGCACCCCGCTCCTCTCAAGCCCTCGTGCCTTCTGCGAGGCCTTCCCGTGAGAGCCTCTGGAAAGAGGGGGCCGATCCTTCCACGAGGCCCGGCCCTTTCAGAGAGGAGGCAGCCCACCTTCGCCGTGCCCGCCCCTGCGCGCCGCCGAGGTCGTCAGCCCCTCCGTGGTGGAGACCCTGCGGGCGGCAGAGCTGCACGGCGAGTTCGCCTTCCGAGAGGTCCCCGAGGCCCCCGGGTACCAGGCCCTGGCCAGCCGCGACGTCGCCGTGGGGAGGCCCCCCGGGGCGGTCCTCTCGCCCTCGAGGGACTACGGCAGCTCCTCTCTGACCATGTCCTCCCTCCTGCGCCCGACCGCGACGACCGCCAGCCCCACGCTGGCGCCCCTGGACCTGAGCATGGTCGAGCGCTCAGCGGGCCCTGGGAACGACAGGGACGCCTTTGCTACCGGCTCCATTTTCCGTTTTTTCCTTCTTGGGTCAGGCGCCGTGTGTTTGCGCTGGTGTCATCGTCGCTGCTTCTTGGTCCCATTCCTGGAGCCTGTCTTCCCCCGTTTCCGGGAGCAGGTTTGCTTTTTACCGTTTTCAAGTTCCACCTGTGGTGTTGGGTCCTCGTTTTGGAGAGACGGTGCTCCGCGTCTCCTTCTCCTCCCGCTGCCCCCTCCCTCCTCCCCCTCCATGCCATCACGAAGGTCCCAGTGGCGCAGGTTGCATGCGCCCCCCCCATCCAGGACAGCGCTTCGTGGCCCCATAGGGAGCTCCACCGAAGGTCCCAGTGGCGCAGGTTGCATGCGTCCCACCCAGGAGAGCGTTTCGTGGCCCCACAGTGAGCTCCACCGAAGGTCCCAGTGGCGCAGGTTGCATGCGCCCCCCCATCCAGGACAGCGCTTCGTGGCCCCATAGGGAGCTCCACCGAAGGCCCCAGTGGCGCAGGTTGCATGCGTCCCCCCCCCCACCCAGCACAGCGCTTCGTGGCCCCATAGGGAGAAGCTTGCATGCGTCCCCCCCACCGGACAGAGGGAGCTGCCCAGTGGCGCAGGTTGCATGCGTCCCCCCCAGGACAGCGCTTCGTGGCCCCATAGGGAGCTCCACCGAAGGTCCCAGTGGCGCAGGTTGCATGCACCCAGGCATCTCCACCCTTGCATGCGTGGCGCTTCGTGGCCCCATAGGGAGCTCCACCGAAGGTCCCAGTGGCGCAGGTTGCATGCGCCCCCCCCATCCAGGACAGCGCTTCGTGGCCCCATAGGGAGCTCCACCGAAGGTCCCAGTGGCGCAGGTTGCATGCGTCCCCCCCAGGACAGCGCTTCGTGGCCCCATAGGGAGCTCCACCGAAGGTCCCAGTGGCGCAGGTTGCATGCGTCCCCCCCACCCAGGACAGCGCTTCGTGGCCCCACAGTGAGCTCCACCGAAGGTCCTAGTGGCGCAGGTTGCATGCGTCCCCCCCCCACCCAGCACAGCGCTTCGTGGCCCCATAGGGAGCTCCACCGAAGGTCCCAGTGGCGCAGGTTGCATGCGTCCCCCCCGTGGCCCCACTGAGCCCTCCTCCTCCGCCAGCCACCTCCTGCCCGCGCTGCCCTGTGCCTCGTGCATGCAGTGGCGCGGTGCCTATGAGAAGAGGGAGCTAGTTTGCGTGCCCCCCCTCCTTCGTCTCATATCCTGCGCGGCATTCGCAGCTGCATATGGTTAGGTCCTTCGTCAGGCTAATTTCGTCACTGCGTCTACTGCGCGGCGACAGTCGGATACTGAGCCTCAGAGTTCTCGCCGGACAGCGGGTTCGTCCCCGTTTGGGGAGTGCGAAGTTTTCCGTCACGCGTTGTTTTGTGTTTTTATTTGTTGTATTAAAATGTACAAGAACATGGCAGCAACAAAAGCGACTAACAAAACGTCCCTGCCGCTTCCGGGGGCCACCGAGGTCGAGCGCTACTTTCCCAGGACGATCCTGAGAATGGTCACAGGCCGCGCGGAAGTGCGGAAGGGTACGCTGCTGCTACTTTTAAGTCGGGCCTGTCCCTCTACAGGAGGAAGATTCAAAAATAGTCCAGAAATCGTCGGGGGACGATGTTCTGATTACTTTTGAGCATGCTGGAGTATTGTTTGACATTTTTCAATTTGTCGTCAAACATCCGCCGGTAGGGGGACATGCCCGACATAACGCTACCACTTCGTCGGACGTCCATGGACGGGCTCTCCGGCGGCGGGCTGCACCACCTTCCTCCCCACGCCTCCCTCCCCGGTGCCAGGAGCGCGCGGGGGCGTCGCTGAAGGCGTCGCTCCTCCCCCCCTCCTCCACCTCCTCCTCATCCTCCTCCTCCTCCTCCCCCCCCTCCTCCCTCCTGCTCCTCCTCGTCCTCCCTCCTCATCCTCATCCTCATCCTCATCCTCCTCATCCTCCCTCCTCCTCCTCCTCCTCCTCCTCCTCCTCCTCCTCCTCATCCTCCTCCTCCTTCTCCTCCTCCCCCTCCTCCCCCTCCTCCCCCTGCTGCTGCTGCTGCTGCTGCTGCTGCTGCTGCTGCTGCTGCTGCTGCTGCTCCTCCTCCTCTCCTCCTCCTCCTCCTCCTCCTCTCTCCTCCTCCTCCTCCTCCTCCTCCTCCTCCTCCTCCCTCCTCCTCCCCTCCTCCCTCCTGATCCTCCTCGTCCTTCCTGCTCCTCTTCCTCTCCTCCTCCTCCTCCTCCTCCTCTCCCCTCCTCCTCCTCCTCCTCCCCCTCCTCCTCACCCTCATCCTCACCCCCCTCCTCCTCCTCCTCCTCCTCCTCCTCCTCTTCCTCCTCCTCACCCTCCTCCTCCTCCTCCTCTCTCCTCCTCCTCCTCCTCCTCCTCCTCCTCCTCCTCCTCCTCCTCCTCCTCCTCTCCTCCTCCTCCTCCTCCTCCTCCTCCTCCTCCTCCTCCTCACCCTCCTCACCCTCCTCCTCACCCTCCTCCTCACCCTCCTCCTCACCCTCATCCGCCTCGTCTGCCCACGTGGTGACGAGGCGTATTCTCCCGCATATGTCCCTGCACCCGTGCGCCCTCCTCCTCCTCCTCCTCCCCCTCTTCTCCTCCTACTCCCTCCCCCCTCCCTCCCTCCTGCCCTCACTATCCCTCCATCATCCCTCCTCCCTCATCTCTTCCCGGGGGGGCGGGAGGGGGTCCGTTTTCGGATGTCCAAAATTGTGGCCGCGTGTGTGTTTCTGGCCTTCTCAGGAGACCTCATGTCCGACGAGATGCGGCGGGCTTCGATCGTGTTCCTGTCCATTGGCAAGCTCGATCCTGGGCGGGGAGCAGCAGACGCGAAGCGCATGCAGGTCGTCGTGCGCCTCCTGCAGCGATCGATCTATGCCTTGGAGATCCCGCTGGGACAAGATCGAAAAGTTGCTAACCCCTCAGAGCACGAAACGGGGCGAATATGAGATGTCTGGGGAAGCCCAAGGCTAAAGAACGGCCCAGGGGGGTATATTTCAGAGATGGACGCGGGGAGCCCGACGGCTTCGATAGTAAACCCAGAAAAAGAACAAGGACATTCGAGCAAGGCTGAAGAGATGCTAAGGGGGGGTGAGGGGTGGCTGCAGGGAGGTCATGAGAAGGCTAAGGGAAGGTGGATGGAGAATGTAAGGACCGACGTTTGCACCGAGAAGGCTTGAACTTGCAACCAATAGATCACTCGGCCTTGTAGATGTGATGTGGGCGTTGCTATGTTTCAGCTGGTACAAGTCTTGAATACTGATTGTATAAATAACAAGGAGGGCAGCTTGAACAAGATCTTGGTTGACGACAAGGGCATACTGGTTCTAGCTTGCTTCGGCCTACCGCCGCTCAATCACTACACCGACGACCCACTGAGGGCTGTCCTGGCAGCGGCGCGCTTCATCGACACGCTGCGGGAAGAGGATCGTAGCCCCTCTTTCGCCCCAGACCTCCGACGTCTCGGTTTCTCGAGTCGCTGGCCCCTGAAGCTCTCGACCCCTACCCCAGGACTGGCTTTCATTGGACGGCCCCAGGGCCAGGCAACAGCCTCCAGACGCCGAAGGTGCTGAAAGATGTCTGGCGCGGATTCTTCGAGCCGCTGGGGGTCTGGGACCCCTCCTCCGCGTCCTCCTCCCTCCTCCTCCTCCTCCTCCTCCTCCTCCTCCTCCTCCTCCTCCCTCCTCCTCCTCCTCCTCCTCCTCCTCCTCCTCCTCCTCCCCCTCCTCGCCTCCTCCATCCTCTCGGACCCCTTTTTTCCGATCTGCCGCCACCACCGCCGCCCATAAAAGGCGCGCGTGCAGGGCACGGGGGCGCCCTGCGCGCTGGCCCCGGGGCCTCGGAGCGCCAGCTCCGACGGCCTTGGGGCGGCGCTCACCGCATGCGTCGCGCCCGTCTCTGTCGTGGCTCCCCCGACCGCAGCCAGCCGTGGCGACGAGGGCGCCCCTGGATGCTCAAGAATGGCAGAACGTCCAACAAAATATCAATCCTCGAACCCCGATCCTTCTTCTACTCCTCCTCCAGTCCTTGCCCCTATAGATATTATCCTGTCGCGCCCCGAGGCGTGTTGGCAGGGCGGGCCGGGCGTTTTGCTTGAGACTTCCTCACCATGTACGATCTTGAAGTTGAACATGTGCACGAGCTTCACGGATGTAGGGTGGTCCGTCTCCAAAATGTAGTTCTCGCTTGAGCGCCGCGCACAATCGTTGTAAAATCTTGCAAGAGCTTCACAGATGGAGGGCGGGTTGCCGTTCAAATGGAGTTATCGCTTTAGTGCCGCGCACATTCGTTTTTGAAAAATGCAAAAGTTTCACAGTTCAAGGGCGGTCCGCTTTCAAAATGTGAGTATCGTCCTAGCGCCGCGCATATTCGTGATTTGAAGGCGCAAGAGTTTCACGGATGGAATGGGGCACTTGTTCAAAATTTGGTATTCGTCTTAGCGAAGTGCACATTTGCTTTCAGAGTTTACACCAGTGTCAAAACTTGGCATGGCTACTAACCAAGAAATAACGTTATGGCATGATGCCGGCAAGGCACAACATTTACGTTGATCCGCGGTGTTAAAGTCGCAGGAACAGTTCTGGCGCGATACAGGATCGTCAAGACGCAGCCATAACGGTGATCCGTGGCGTTGAAGTCGCAGGAATGGTGTTCTGGCAGAGTTCCGGAGTTTCAAACGATTCTCTTCCAACGGGGCATTTCTTTCAGTGAAAATGAACCCTCGTAGGCACTTATGACGGTTGAATTTGGAGGGAGGCTTTATTGCAATATCGTTGGTGAGTTTTGGTTTTTTTTAAAAGGTCCTCCTCTTCCTCCTCCATACTTTGTCGTTATGCATAGCTCCTCGTCGCACCACCAGGCGTTCGGCAGGCCAGGCTCGCTTGAGACGCACTTGCGCGTTGAAGTTATGCTGTTCCCAAACCCACCACTGACACGGATGGAGGACTGGTGTATTTCAGAATGCGGTTCTCGTCTTCGCGCCTCGCCTTCCGTTGTTGTTCTTCGGTCTCCAACAGAAACATGGATGGAGGACTGGTCGTTCTCAAAATTGTGCTCTCGCCTCAGCACCGCGCAAATTCTGCAAAAGTTTGCAAGAGCTGCAAGGCTGGAGGGTCAGTAGATTTCAACATGGAATTCTTGCCTTCGGTCTGCGCGCTTTCGTCTTGAAGCCGTCTAGCAGTTACAGGCATGGAGGCCAGTAGCTTCAAACTGTGGCTCTCGCTTGGACGCGGTGCGCATTCGTTTAACAAAAAACTCTGCAGCGGCAAACATGGAGAGCCGGTGGTTTCCAACATGCCACAGTCGCTTCGGATTTCTTTCATACCAATGGCCCGCAGGTCCAAAGTGTCTCCGGCTTACACGGATGGTGCGGATGCGTTTCAAAACGTTGTTCTCGCTTGAGACCCCCACGACCTGCATGGCCAGAACTCTGGATTTGCGGAGGACGCCCACGGACGGAGGGCAGATCTGTCAAGAAGGGGCCCTCGTTCGACGCTTCTCTGACTCGTCTCGGCACGTTTTTTTTCTTTCACCCCTTCCAGCGCAGAGGACGGACGTGGAGCGTTGACAAAACCGGGCCTGGACCGAGCGGCAGGCCCTCCGAACGCTCGCCACTCAAGGGCGGGGGGGGCCCTCCCCCCAATGGAAATGAAGACGTGCAGAGATTCCCCAATCGGCGCTTGCACCGAAGGAGTCCCAGCGAAAATTGAAAGATTTGACGAAAGTGTCCCGCCGATGTTGGTGGCCGGCTGGTTTCCCGGGTTCCCGTTCCGGGGTCCCGGGTTCTTGGTTATTGGTTCCGGGCCGATTTCAGTGGGTTCCGGGTTCCCGGGTTCACGGTCGATGTCCTTATCAATCAAACCATCCACTGATTTGGGTTTCTCTTGGTGGAATTCATAAGGGGGGGACTTGGGACGACCATGATAGTAAGGATGAGCGATTTTCCAAGGTTGCCCTTGCATCCTTTCCCTTCGGCCCATCCTTGGCTTCTTTCGCTGGCTGCGCCCCGCTCGAAAGGCGCCGACTTGGTCTTCCAAGGCCCTTCCATCCTTACCGCGCATCCTTTCGATCCATGTTTGCCGTAGTGCAGCATCGTTGATGCATGTTGGGTTTGCTCTGGTCCTCCTCTTGGCTGCACGCACAAAAAGGGTGGTGCGAGAGGGGGGCCTTCCAAGAAGGCGAGTGGGCTTCTCAGACGACGGCAGGCGACTTGTTGAAAGCCCTCCCGGCTTCCACGAAGCGTTCTCAGAAGCCCCAGGTAGGCCCCTTCCTCCTCAGAAGCCCCCCCGCCTTGGAAGGCCGCCCCCTCCGCACCGCCCTCTCGCGCGCGCCCGCCAGTCCTCCTCGATCCCCGAGACGATAAGACCCTCCCCTCCTCCCCCCCTAAGAGACAGGCGGGACGACGACGGCACCGCGGGAGGCCCGAGAGGGGCGACGAAACGTCCAAAGAAGCTTCAAACCTCGATCTCCTCCTCCTCCTCCTCCTCTTCCTCCTCCTCCTCCTCCTACTCCTCCTCCTTCTCCTCCTCTTCCTCCTCCTCCTCCTCATCCTCCTCCTCCTCCTCCTCCTCCTCCTCCCCCTCCTCGTCCTCCTCTTCCTCCTCCACCTCCTCTTCACTCCCGCAGCAAAGCGTACATCTTTGGCGTAGTCGTTATTTGGGCCTGAACGCAGTCCAAGACGACCGCAGAGGCCCCCAACATCGCCCCAAGATGCCGCAAGAGACTTATAAGAGAGCCCCACCAAGAGGGCCCCAAGACGGCCCAAGACGCACAGGAGACAGCCCAAGAGGGCCCCAAGAGAGCTCCACGGGGGGCTGAAGAGAAGGCATCCTAGCTGGCATGTTGAGTCCTCCGCGTCAAGATGACCCCCGAGCTCGCCAACAGGCTCCCAAGAGGCCTCCAAGATGCCCCCAAGATTCGCCGAGAGGTCCCCATGAGGCGATGCCCACAAGAGGGCTCAGATAGGTCCCCAAGGGGCTTGAACATTGTTTTCTCAAGATACATACGGTTCCCGACTGTGCCCCCCAACAGCTCGCGAAGAAGCCCTACAGGGCCCATTCCGATGCCGCCGGCTCGATTCGATTCGATTTCCCCGGCTGCCGATTCGAACCGATTCGATGCGGAGATTCCGATTTGCGATTCCGATTCTAGTTCGCCCGATCCGATTCTTACCGGTTCAATGTGTCTTCTGTCTCTTGCCGATCTGGATTCGCCGGGGAAGTATATTTTACGCTGTGCTATGTTCCACGCAGTTGCACATCCAGATTGTTACGTCTTTAACGGTACGCAGCAATTGCGGAGTTGGGCAAACCAAAAAGAGGATGGCGATGGCGACGATGACGACAACGAGCGCTTTTTGAGCGTCCCTAGGGCGCGCCGACGCCGGCGCGGTGTCGCTGACATGCGGGTGCCTGGCCGCCGCCGCCCTCGCCGTCGGCGCCGCTGGCGCCGTTGTCGCCGCCGCCGCCGCGGCCGCCGCCGTCGCCGTCGGGCATCGGCCAGCGGGTGGCGGGGGCCCGAGGGGGTCAGGGGTCGGGCCCTTGCGGGGGCCGAAGGGGGCCTGAGGGTCTCTTCTGTGGGTCATCCGTGTTTCCGAAGGCCCACGAAACACGGATGCCCCACGAAAGAGACACCAACAGACCCCAACACGCCCCAGGAGCCCAGCAAGCGAAAGTGTCCGAAGTATGCCCCCAGAGACCAAATCTGCGCCCTGAGACGGGCGAAGACACCCCAGGACCGCCCGAGAGAACACGAAAAAACATTTCCGGCTCCCTTCCCATGGGGTGAGCTTTGGACGGTGCCCTCAGTTCCTGCACGTTCTCGGGCTCCCGGGTGCTTTCCATGGGCCCAGCTTCGCCGAAGGCGCTCCGTGGGCGCTCCACCGCTTCGGCTTCTACGCCGCCCGGACGACCTCGCATTGCGCGCCCCATCCCCCCCCGACGCGCGCGCAGGTGTGCCCGCCAGTGGGAGTGCCGCGCGCGGCATTGTCTTGCGCGGCCGGCGGATCGCAAAAGACAGCCTCACCGTGAGGATCGTCGGCCGTGCTCTTCGCTGCGGGCGTGGGCGCTCACGTCCTCGCGAACGGCTGCCAGCATGAACGAATTCATGAACGGCCGACGTGGTTGAGCTTGGAACCTGTCGTTGCAGTTCCGCAGCTGTGGTCGCCACTGAGCAGCACGCTTCCTGGTAACAGCCTGAGGTGAAGGAAGAAAACGATTTCGAGAGGAAGCCGTAGAGTTGGCCAGAGAATACTGGAGAGCGGCAGCCGGGCTGATTTGTTGCGTAAGGCATGTCCCCTCCGTGCAGCTGGCTTCTGCGCACCGTCGAGGCTCTGGTCACAGAGTGCGAGGAGGGGTCCAGCGAGCGCCCCCTCCCTGAACAGGACGGCCCAAGATGAGCCGGAGGCAGTTCCGAGGCTGCCCCACGATACCCCCGAGACGGACCTCGCCAGCATGCGCGTCCGAGTGCTTCCGCGATGGTCCAGGAGCACTCCGACGCGTGCCACGTCCCGTACAGACGGCTCCACGCCCGTGCACACAGAGCACCCCCAGAGCGTGGCTTGGGGAGCCCATCTTCAGGCTCCTGAAGCTCATCGGCGTCTCCTCTGCCCTCTTGGGGCCATCTTCGACCCAAAAGGTGGGAGTTCCAGAAACCCTGCCTCCCAGCAAGCAGCTCCATCGGTTCAGGCCGTCGTCGGGCTCTCTTGTGGGGGGGCTGAGCGGGGGGTCTCTTCGGGCTCTCTTGTTGCCGCCTTCGAATAATCTGAGAGCCTCTGGGGCCCTCCTCGGCCGACCCGTCCCGAGGCGCTCTCAGACGGCCCCGCGCTCGTCTCCAGAGCCCAGAGCGAGTCCCCAGAAGGCCCCGCACCTCCCAAGGGGGAAGGGGTTCCACACCTCGGGCCCTCTCCCCTGGTCATGCCTATGGACAACGTCTTCGGAGTCAGCTAGAACCCAAGCGCGCACGTAGCGCGCGCGCGTGGTTCTAGTACATAGCACCCCCCCCAAGTGGCACCGCCAAATTTATCCGTAGGCCAGGCTGGGCGTTTCGCTGTTCGACTTCTTTGCGACTCGAATATTGTCGCGAACCCAGCTCTTCCTCCTCCGCCGCCGTCTTCGATCCTCGAGAAGGACCCCCGCCCTTGAGGGGCGGGCGGGCAGGGGAACAAGGCCCAACGCGGGCCCCCTGCTGGGCCCCCGAGGCAGCACACGAGAGCAAGAGGTCTCGCAGTGTGCTCCGACCGATGCGCTCGGCTCCTGCAGCCTCGCCGAGGCCCTTCTCGGCTGTGCAGCGGGCCTGGACTCTCGAACGGGGCAACAAGACGCCCAAAAATGCAGGAAGAGGCGCATGACGAGGAGGGAGGAGGAGGAGGAGGAGGAAGAAGAGGAGGAGGAAGAGGAGGAGGAAGAGGAGGAGGAGGTGGAGGGAGAGGGAGGAGGAGGCGGAGGAGAGGGAGGAGGAGGCGGAGGAGAGGGAGGAGGAGGCGGAAGGGGAGGAGGTGGAGGAGGAGGAGGGAGAGGGAGGAGGATGAGGCGGAGGAGGAGGAGGAAGAAGACAGACATGAATCTGAGCCACTGCAGCAGGATGGCAACAGCTACGATGCAAGATCGGGCGCTGTCCTGACTGTCTTCGATTGACCCAGATCCCTCCACACCTATTGGCGTGGATTACGCATTTGAACGCGATTTGGGCCACCGCGGGCCCGATCTGCCAATTTGCACCAGGGCGCCCCCACGGACGCAGGATGCGCATCTCAGCGCGATTCGGCCCGGAACGGGCCCTGGGCGTTCCAGGCGCAGCTATTGGCGCGGATTGCGCATTTGAGCGCAATTTGGACCACCGCGGGCTCGATCTGCCAATTTGCACCAGGGCACTCCCGTGGACCCTCTCCCACCTGGTCGATCCGGTGCCGTCCCTCCGCGAGCGGGGGGCTCGCAGGAGAGCGAGCCACCGACGTGCGCCCAGCGACGGCACCTCCGTCCCTGCCTGCGGCGGGCGTGCTGGCCCTGCCAGGCCGCCGGCGGCATTGACGCACGGTCCGTTGCAGCACAGCCCAGCACAGCATAGGAGTGAGGATGAGTGAAGAGGAGTGGAGGGGAGGGGGGGTGGGAGGACGGAGGGGGAGGAGGGGAGGAGGAGGGGGGAGAGCAGGAGGAGAGGAGCACGAGGAGCAGGAGGAGGAGGAGGAGGAAAGACGAGGGAGGAGGAAGAGGAGGAGGAGGAGGAATACCCTCCAAGCTCCCTCCTCGCCCCGAGGATCTCACGGGCAGGGCGGGCGTCGCGACCGGGACGTGTTGGTGCGGGATCGTTGGTAGCGCGCTTCGGCGCGAGTACACGGTGCCCGCCGTCTTCGTCGCCGTCATATTGTTCTTCGTCCTTCTCCACATCCTCCCCCCTTCTCCCCCTCTTCTTTCTGCCTCATCCTCCCCTCTCATCCTCCTCATTCTCCCTCCTTTCCTCTCCCTCTCAGCACCTCTGTCGCCCCGTTTTCCCTGGCTCGCTCGCTCCCACGGCCCCTCCCAGGGCTCTTCGAATGGGTCCCTCCAGTGAAGCTCCCGCTGATAAGCATGCATGTTTCACGGGTTGCTTCGAAGCCAAAGCTCGGCAAGTGCCCAGCAGCAGTCCACAGCGCAGTAGTTCGAGCAATCCTCGGAGCATGGACCACGACCCAGAGGCTGCCAACAGACGTCAGGCCCTGCATTCTCGGCTGCCCCGTGCAGCGAGACTCCCGGGCGCACTACGTCTACGGAAGCACCCCTTTGGAAGTTGATCCTGAATGCGGGGCGGGTTGGCCCACTTCTCGAGGCTCCGCCCTCCGAACGCCTGGGATGTGTGCCTGCGAGGCTGCGCGGTCACAAGCGAGCTCCCTCCGCTGGCCGCCGCGATGTGTTCGCCCGGGGCCGTGCCGCAGGTGACTCGGCAGCAGACCGACGCGCGCGCCCCGCTCGGGTCGCACGCAGCTCGAGGCAGCGACGCGTCGGGTCCAGTGTGTGTCCAAGTTCGTCCCCCGTGCTCCAGCGCAAGGCATCGTCTCGGCCCCTTTGACAGGCCTTCTGTTACACGAGGCCTCCTCCTCCTCCTCGTTCTCCTTCTCCTTCTCCTTCTCCTTCTCCTCCTCCCCCTTCTCCTCCTCCTCCTCCTCCTCCTTCTCCTCCTCCTCCTTCTCCTCCTCAGCGGTGGGAGGCACAGTCGCCATCATCCTGCTCCTCCTCCTCCTACTCCTCCTCCTCCTCATCTTCCTCGTCCCTCATCCCTCCTCCCTCCTCACTCCTCACTCCTCACTCCTCACTCCTCACTCCTCACTCCTCACTCCTCACTCCTCCTCCTCCTCCTCCTCCTCCTCCTCCTCCTCTCCTCCTCCTCCTCCTCCTCCTCCTCACTCCTCCTCCTGCTCCTCCTCCTCACTCCTCCTCCTTCCTCACTCCTCACTCCTCACTCCTCTCCTCCTCCTCCTCCTCCTCCTCCTTCCCCTCCTCCTTCTTGGCGCAGATAAGCCAGCGGTGGGAGGCACAGTCGCCATCGTCCTGCTCCCGTTCCTCCCTCCCCTCCTCTCTCCTCCTCCTCCTTCTCCTCCTCCTCCTCCTCTCCTCCTCCTCCTCCTCCTCCTCCTCCTCCTCCTCCTCCTCCTCCTCCTCCTCCTCCTCCTCGTCCCTCCTTCTCCTCCGCCTTTTCCTCCTCCTCCTCCCTCCTCCTCCTCTCCTCCTCCTCCTCCTCCTCCTCCTCCTCCTCCTCCTCCTCCTCCTCCTCCTTGTCCTCCCTCTATCCCTCCCTCCTGTCCTCCCTCCTTGCTCTCGCTATCGTCCTTTTCATCCTCTCTCCTGTCGGTGCTTGGCGATGTCGCGAACCTGGCCGCGCGGCTGATGGGCAGCGCGGAAGAGTGCGGGCCTTTGAAGGGCTCGGTTGCGCCACGTCCTCCTTCATTTCCTCGCCATCATCAGCAGCAACAGCATATAATTCAACACCAGCGTCGTCATCATCAGCAGCATCCTCGTCGTCATCATCATCACCATCTTCAGCATCATCCTCATCCTCATCATCAGCAGCAGCATCAGCAGCAGCATCGTCAGCAGCAGCATCATCATCAATATCATCATCAGAATCATCGTCATCATCAGCAGCATCCTCAGCAGTAACAGCATCATCGTCATCAGCATCATCATCAGCATCAGCATCATCTTCGCCATCAGCATCATCATCATCATCAGCAGCAGTAGCATCATCAGCATCATCATCAGCATCATAATCATCAGCAGCATCAGCAGCATATGCGACATCACCAGCACCAGCATCATCATGTGTTGCATCCTCCTCACCATCATATTCCTCCGTCTTCTCCGTCTCCTTCTCATCACTAGCACCAGCATCAGCATCAGCATCAGCAGCATCGTCATCCTCATCACCAGCAGCAGCATCATCATCAATAGCAGCAGCATCACCATCACCATCACTATCATAATCGTCATGAGCAGCAGCAGCATCATCATCATCAGCAGCAGCACCATCATCACCAACGTCATCGGCATCATTATCCTCAGCATCAGCATCACGATTATCAGCATCATCAGCATCATCAGCATCATCACTGTCCTCATCATCATCGTCATCATCATCAGCATCACCATCATCAGCATCATCAGCAGCATCACCATCATCAGCATCATCATCATCATCGTCATCATCCTCATTATCAAGATCATAATGATCCTCATCATCATCGTAATCGGCATCGCCATCATCAACCATCATCAGCAGCATCATTCTCATCACCATCGTCATCATCATCATCAGCAGCATCAACATCATCATCACCACCACCACCATCATCATCATCATCATCATCATCATCATCAGCATCATCATCATCATCATCATCATCATCATCATCATCATCATCATCATCATCATCATCATCATCGCCATCGCCATCGCCATCGCCATCGCCATCGTCATCATCGTCACCATCGCCCTTGTTTGTCCTCACGCTTTCTTTCACTACGCCCCCCCTCCCAGACCCCCGACGTCATGATTTTTTCATTACGTCGATCCCCAGAGGTCTCGGCCCATTCCCCTGGACGGGGTTTTCATACTGAGCCGTTTTTTGACGGTCTCGAGGGCCGGTAAGGGTCCCCAGAGGCCGAAAATAGCAAAAAACCTCCCGTCATTATTTTTTCATTGCCCGAGGGGGTCTGGGCCCCCTCCGCCTCCGCGGCCCGACGCGGCCCGAAGCACTGGCCCGGGGTGCACCCGGGCGCCTCCGCTCCCTCGCGGGCCCCGCTCCCTGGCCCCCGGTGGGGGCCACCCGCCGTCCAGGCGCGGCCTGCGGAGCTGGCCAGAACGGAGGCCGGCCTCGAGCGGATGCTGGTCGAGGGCGGGGCGACCCTCGAGGAGGAGGCGGCGGAGGAGGAGGAGGAGGAGGAGGAGGACGAGGAGGCGGAGGAGGAGGAGGACGAGGAGGAGGAGGACGAGGAGGAGGAGGACGAGGAGGAGGAGGCGGAGGAGGAGGAGGAGGAGACGGAGAAGGAGGAGGAGGCGGAGGAGGAGGAGGAGGCGGAGGAGGAGGACGAGGAGGAGGAGGACGAGGAGGAGGAGGCGGAGGAGGAGGAGGAGGAGGAGACGGAGAAGGAGGAGGAGGCGGAGGAGGAGGAGGAGGAGGTGCTGGGCGGGTCGAGCAAGGCGGCCCCTGCGAGCAGGCACCCCGCCGCCCAGAGGCCCTCACTGCCCTCGGGGAAGCCCTCCTGGGAGTCCCGAGGAGCCCGCTGCTTGCTCGGAAGGCCGCCCACGCCCCACGCCGGCCTCGCCCTGGCCCCGAGCAGCAGCCGCTCAGAGCCAACCCCCGTGGGGCCCCAGAGGGCTCCCCACGAGAGCCCTGGAGCGACGGCGCCCATGACTGCACCGCAGGCACATCAAGTAAGAGATCGGCCTGCCAGCAGGTGCCCCGCGCAACTGTCGCATCCCTGGAGGCCCCAGGGCCCCAGGGGCCCACGGAGGGTCTGGAGCGCTCGAGGGGCCGCAGAGATCGGCGAAGGAAGAAATTACCCAACGATTCCTTAATTACAGTAAGATGTCCTGTCGTATACGCCGCTGCGTGCCTTTCGTCGCTCCTCGCCCCGTGTGCGCGTTCGGCCGAGAGGCTGCCAGGTCCCGCGATGGCCGATCGCCCCGCGCGGCTTCAGTTCGTCTCGCCCGGGCGGGGGACGGCCGACCGGATGTTCGCAGTCCTCTGGGTTCAGACATCCGACTATGTGTTTTTTTTCATCAGGGCGTCTTTCCTCAATTTCGGCCTCCAGGGCCCGTTGTTCAGTGTCGTTTTACTCATCCCCATCCCCACCAGGCCACGGTACCTCAGCCCACCATCCCACCACCCCAGTTGTGGATAGGCCCCTCGAAGCCCGAAGGGAACAGCCTACACCCCATCTACGGGGGTAAATCGGCCAGTGGGGCCCAGACCACGCCAGTGGGGATAAGGATCGGTTAAGCGAGGCTCAGTTGATGCGCCCTGGGACCATCAAGCATGGATCCAGGACGAAAAACTATCCCCCAGTAAAGGGGTCGAGACCACTGAGGCCGCGCACTGAAAAACAAAAAAACAAAAAAAAAGTTGTCGGATGCCTGGGCCTCAGAGCACTCCGGAGCGCTCTGGAATGTCCGTGGCGCCCGGTGCATCTTCGAGAGCCGACAGATCTCAGAGATCCTTTATCTATCCAGGTCCGATGTTGTCCGCGTCCTTGCTCCGTGTTGCCCTGGATGTCCAGAAAAGGGTCAGAAGGGGCGCCCAGAAGCCTAGATGCTCCTCGGCGCGGTCCGTGTCGTCGAGCGAGGGGGGGGGAGGGGGGGGAAACATCGTGACAAAAGTCTCAGCGCCGACAGGTTGTCGATGGTGCGATCCGCAAATCGCCCCGCGTGATCTCCTCGGCAGGCGGCGCCCATGCCTCGAAGACGCCCGTGCCCTCGGCCGCGCCCGCTGGTTGGGGGGCAGCAGCAGAGGCAGAAGAAAGATGTTGGCCAGGGCGGGCCCCAGAAAGTGAGTTATTGCACGGTCGACGTGTAAGCTACGTGTGGAGTTCCAAAAACGGCCTTGCCTGCGAGGATCGAAGGAGTTGTCATCCCTTCCGCCGTGGAAGGTCGGCGGAAGAAAAACGAGGCCGCCTCCGCTGGCGGAAGCCGGCGGAAGGCCGGCGGAATGACGGAGAATATACGTGATGGTCAAGGTTTGGTGCAAACGATGTGGCAAAGCTATGTGGTGCAAGCTACGCAGTGCAACATATGTGGTGCAAGCTATGTGGTGCACATTGTGTGGTGCAAACTACGCGGTGCAAGCTGTGTAGTGCAAGCTCTGTGGTGTGAGCTATGTGGTGCAAGCTATGTTGTGCCAGCTATGCGGAATAGGTTGCGTGGTGCACGCTATGTCGCATAATGTCCATGGAGCAGTCTACGTGGTACAAGTTTTGTGGTGTAAGTTTTGTGGTGCAAGCTCTGTGACGCAATCTGCGTAGTGAAAGCTGCGGTGTGCAAACTATATGGTGCAAACTATGTGGTACAAGCTATACGGCGCAAGCCACATGATGCAAGCTACGTGGTGCAAACTATGTAGTACAAGCGATGTGGCACAATCAACTAACATTCACCAGCTAGTTGTCAACTACACTGTGTGCGCAATGATCCCACCATCCAGCCTGAAAGCTTGTGTTTCACAACCCATGCGGCCACGATGCGGCGACTCCTCCGCACTGACTGGCGCATCTCTGCGGCCGCGCTGGCGCGCGCAAGCTCGCGCGCAGAGCGACCAGCTGGTTTGGCACAACCGATGCGGCCGCGATGGCGCTTACCGATGGCAATTTCCCAGCGCGTCTCAAAGGCCGGGCTGGCGCTCGGCAAATTCAAAGCGGGTCGGCGACTCGGGCGGGCATAGTACAAGGATGACACCGACAACGAAGGCAACGATAATGGCAGTAGCGGTGCTTGTGGAGATGATGACGATGACGACGGCATGACCAATGACGTCGCCGATTATGTTGGCAACGGTGACGATGATGATGTCCATGTGTCGGCGACGAGGGTGTTTGAGTGATGATGGCGGCAGTGGCGGCGATTGCCGATTACGGCGACGTGATACGGCGGCACTGGCGAGAGTGATGGTGACGAAGAGCGCGCGCGCGGAAACGCAAGGAACTTGGTTGACTTGTCGTTGCAACCTAGGGGCTGGGTGTGTTTATGTTGAAGTGTTTGCGTAACTGGTGGGTCAGGAATGATTTCGACATGTGCGCGGGCGTTCTGTGTCATTTGTTGCTAGGGGCGGTTGGGAAACATGTCTTTCGTGATAAGCGGGCGCGTGCGCACAGCATCGTTTGACGGGGATGCCGTGGGGCGATGCCGGTTGGGTTGGGGTGGTATGAGATCATGGGGGGAATGAGCGACAAGGCAGAATCAGCGTCCCAGGGGGAGGCGGTAAATCTGGGGGGAGAGGGTGTTAGAGTTTCTTTTCTTTTCTTTTTGAAAAGAAAATCTCATCTACGCGGCCCCCACGAGGCGTCCATGGGCGGACACCAGGCGAAACCTCGCATACCCCTCCAGCGCGGTGCGTCCACGAGGCGCCCACGGGCGGGCACCACGCGAAGCTTCGGCATACCCGCCCAGCGCGGGGCGCCAACGATGCGCCCACGCGCGGGCACAAACCCAAACCCTGTCATCATCCCCAAGCGAGGAGCGCCTTCGTTGTGCCCACGGGCGCGCACCAACCGGGGCACCAGCCGAACCCCCACCATACCCATCCAGTTTCTCGTGTTACCAGAATAAGAATTTTCAGTGCAAGCATTGTTTGGGTAGCTATTGGTTGCTTCGTCCTGTGTGGGGCGCCTTGGCGTGGGATCTCGGTGGGCACCGAGGAACACGTGCAGAGTCGACGAGTCCACGCGGGACGCTTGCAAGCACATTCTCAAGTTCAGCGCACCGCGGACCATCTCCTTGAAGGGTAAGGCGAACCCGCTGTCGTTCTACATGTTCGACGGTGCACCACTGTGGGAAAACCAGTCGAGGTCAAAAACGTAGGCATGGGATATTATGTGTGACCCCAAGCGACAGGTTGCGCTTCTTGTTTCGTGTCGCGCTCACAAGTCGGTGGGCGAGATGCCTTCTGTTATTGAGGGGTAGGGTTGCCGAGGACAAGATGTCCGATCGCTGCTGTCGAGGCAGGGCCAGGGCGCTCCAGCGGCACTCAATCTCTACAGCGGGCGCATAAGATGAGAAGCCAGCCTGCCAGCAGACGCCCCACGGAGATGCGTTTTTCCCCGACGGTGCTGGGGACTCGTTGGGCACACAGCGAAGTCGAAGATCAACAGGAAATTTGCCAATCTGTGCACCTATACGACCACCCTTCGGGTGATAAGGAGGTTCGGGGGGGGAGGAACCAACGTCTCACTCGATCGGTCTCACTATCGATCTCACTATCGACCTCACTCGGCCTCGCTCGATCGATCCCACTCGATCGATCTCACAATCGATATCACTCGGTCTATTTTATTCGATCGATCTCACAATCGATCGGACTATCGATCTCACAATCGATCTCACTATCGATCTCACAATCGATCCCACAATCGGTCTCGCTATCGATCTCACTATCGATATCACAATCGATCTCACAATCAACGTCATCAACATCATAATCAACATCATCGTCATCAACGCCATCAACATCATCATCACCATCATCACCATCATCGGGACACCATCATCATCATCATCACCTCATCACCATCATCATCAACATCATCACCATCACCATCATCGGGACATCATCATCGTCACCATCAGCATCATCATCAACATCATCATCGGGTCACCATCATCATCATCATCGGAAAACCACCATCCTCATATCATCATCATGAACAACACAATCATCATCGGGACACCATCATCATCATCATCAACATCATCATCAGAATCAACCTCATCACCATCATCGGGACACCATCATCATCGTCACCATCATCATCACCATCACCATCGGGACACCATCATCATCAACATCAGCAGCATCATCATCATCATCGGGCCACCATGATCAAAATCATCATCACCACCTCATCATCATCCTCATCATCAGCATCATCATCAGCGGGCCGCCATCATCGTCATCATCACCATCATCAGCATCATCATCATCGGGACACCATGATCATCACCATCATCATCAGCAGCATCATCATCAACCTCATCATTATCGCGACACCATCATCATCATCATCATCAGCATCACCTCATCATCTCATCAACATCAACATCATCAGGACCATCAACATCATCATCATCATCAGCGGGACACCGTCATCATCAGCAACATCAGCATCATCAACATCATCATCGGGACACCATCATCATCACCACCATGGCCATCATCATCATCATCAACAACATCTCCAACATCATCAGCATCATCATCGGGACACCATCATCATCACCGCCATCACCATCACCATCATCATCAGCATCATCGTCAACATCATCGACATCATCGACATCATCCTCATACTCATCATCATCATCATCATTATCATCATCATCATCATCATCATTGTCATCATCATCGTCATCATCATCATCATCATCATCATCATCATCATCATCATCATCATCATCATCATCATCATCATCATCATCATCATCATCATCATCATCGGGACACCGACGGGACACCGGCGGGACACTGGCGGGACCCCGCGGGCCACCGGCCCCCAGAAAGGAATCATTTGGTCCGGCCGCGCCTCAGCCGGAGGCGGGACACCGGCAGCACACCGCGGGCCACCGGCCCCCGGAGAGGAATAATTTGGTCCAGCCGCGCCTCATCCGGAGGAGACTTTCTTCTCGCCCGCCCACGCAGCTTCGCCTCGCCCGCACGCACGGCACGCACGAACACGAAACCGAAACCGATTTCCCGGCAGGGGGGCTCTCCATTCCATTTCGATCTCACCCCCTCACCTCCGATGCACACATACATGTTTACATATATATATATATATATATGTATCAGAACATAAGTAGGTATACACGCCTATACGTCATAGTTAATTTTGTGCGTCTGGAGGGGGGAGGTGAGAGGTAGATGGGAGGGAATCGTGTGAACGAGCACTTGGCCCCATATCAAGGCAGCTTCGTTTCCAAGGGCGTGCTGAAGCAGCTCGATTCTACGCTGATGAATTGGCAGGGCTGGCCGGCGAAGTCGGTCGTTTTCGACGCTTTGGAGGAGCAGATAGATCGCCCAATTGGCCCGTGTGGCGTCATCTTCACGAAGGGCCAGGCAGGATGTGGAAAAACTGAGGTGGCTGCGCACATCAGGACTTGGGCGAGATCCCGGGGCTGCACGCTATTCAGCGGTCAAAACATGAATGTCGCGGCCACGTTCGCTGTGCAGCTGCAGTGTTGGGTGGAAGTGTTCAAGGAGCTCATGGCCACAGCAGCCGCGGATCCATATTGGCTCGATCGGTTGGAGCAGGGTGGCATGACCCCTGGCGATCTCCTGGACTCGTCAGCCTCCAAGTGGAACTTGTTGACCACAATGCTCCTGGATGGTGGTGCGGATGAAGATCTAATGGCATGGGCACCGATGATGAGTATTGTCTTGAGCAGCTTAGATTTCGGAACGAAGGAGGTGCAGGCGATGCTAGAACGAGATGAGCAGCATAGCAACGGCAGATCGCGACTGGGCGAGCTGTGCGCCAAGCTAATCGACAGTTTCGCATCATTCGGCTCAAACAGAGCCGGAACTGTAATACTATTGCACATCAAGGAATCTACTTCGTTCTACCAATCGAATGATTATCATTCTGGCCGCATTGTTGAAGCTGTGTCTCAGCTCTGCGTCGATAAGCGGCACGAGCCGAACGCCCGACCACTGATCTTTTGTGTCGTTTCGCGCAGCGACGGCGTGGGCAGCGGCAGGATCATCGATAAGGCGCGAGCTTGCAACGGTTACGTGGAGATCGAGGACTTGGACTCTGGCTCTCTTCTTTCTTTTGAAGAGGAAAAATTTCAGAAGCGTAAACTTTCGGAGCTCTGCGCGGATTTTTGCGTCAAGCGCAGATCCAAGAAATGCGCGCGTACCGAAGAAAGCTTATGTTTATGCCGTTGTTTGTCTTCCTCTATTCCTCCTCCCCCTCCTCCAGTCACACTCGGAAGGATGGCGCCGCTCGCGGGGGGCATGAGCTCCCCGTGCCCTGTCCCCGCCGCCAGTCTGAGAGGACCATCCTTGCAGCAGTTGCCGCTGGCATGCGAATGCTACGCAGCAGAGAGCCAAGCGACTAGCGCTGCTGACTCATAGCTCGCACCTGCTCTTGTCGTGCCTTGTCTTCACCTCCTCATTCTCCTCTTTCACCTCCCTGGGAGAGGACCTGAACGCCGAACAGACCGGCGCTTTCTTGAGCGAGAGCTTGCAGAATCGAGGGTTGCGTAGGGAGCTCGTCGATTACGTGTACAGGACCTCCGGCGGCAACCCCTTCGCCATAAGGGCCCTGTGCGAGTCCATGAAGGAGCAGACAGGGCACCTCGAGGAATTATAGCCGGAGTGCAGTATCCCCAAACAGGGTTTTTAAACCCACTGCGGTTTCCTTGAGGACCTCCTGGGGCTTCCTCCTGGGCCTCCTGTGGCCTCCTGGACCCACCTGAGGCTTCCTGAAGCCTCTTGGGGCCCCCCGGGGGGGATATCTAACATGTGACCGTCTGGGCCCCCCAAAATGGGGGGGGGGCCACAAGAGCAGGAATTACGCTACCGAGGATCCCCACATACTTATGTCATGGCTGGAATGATGATAGCCTCCTTCTCCTCCTCCTCTTCCTCCTCCTCTCCCCCTCGCCATTGATATACTAACCAGCATGCCCCGATTTGGCATCGAGGTCTCCGATACGTGGCAGCCATCAAGCAACCGAACCGACTGGCTGCTCTGCAAGCCCGCTGGGCCGACAACATTCCCATACCGCCTCGGCGACCCAGTGTTGCAGCGCGCAACGCGCCCATCGACAGCGTGCCACGCCAGCGTGCCACGCTGACGACCCCGAGGTGTTACCAAATCGTGCTGGAGGCTCGGCCTATGACGACCCAGAATGTTGAGACGCCAGGACGACGCGGCAGGGAAGAAAACCATAACCAAACGAAGCATGCTCGCATAGCGGCCGCGCTCAGCGGCCATCCCCTGCGCACCCCCTACGGTGTCGGGAAAGTGCCACTCCTGCTATGCCCCGGACGACCGACTCGAATAGCGGCCGCGCCCAGGGTGCTCCTGCGCACCCCCTACGGTGCCGAGAAAGTGCCACGCCTGCTATGCCCTGGACGACCGGCTCGGATAGCGGCCGCGCTCAGGGACCACCTCCTGCGCACTCCCTACGGTGTCGGGAAAGTGCCGCTCCTGTTATGCCCTGGACGACCGGCTCGGATAGCGGCCGCGCTCAGGGACCACCTCCTTCGCACCCCCTACGGTGTCGAGACAGTACTATCCTGGCATGCCCTGGACAACCGACTCTGATAGCGGCCGCGCTCAGGGACCACCTCCTGCGCACCCCCTACGGTGTCGGGAAAGTGCCACTCCTGCCTTGCCCTGGACGACCGGCTCGGATAGCGGCCGCGCTCAGGGACCACCCCCTGCGCACCTCCTACGGTGTCGGGAAAGTGCCACTCCTGCTATGCCCTGGACGACCGACTCGGATAGCGGCCGCGCTCAGGGACCACCTCCTGCGCACCCCCTTATGGTGTCGAGGAAGTGCCACTCCCGCAGAGCGAGAAGTGCCCCATGGAGCGGGCGAGGGTCTCACTGTTTCCCGCTCCCTCAGGCCGCTGGCCCCGTGCAAGCCCGCGCCCCCCGAACACCCCAATCATAAATGGATGCGTGCGCCATGCGCGCTTCGCGCGCGCTGAGGTTTTAGCCAAGCCCACCTACTGAAGTGCCTTATGGGCCGCGAAACTGATGCATCATCTTCTGTGGAACAATTGGTACGCACACATACTGATTGAAGCCAATGGATATTCGATATGACTGTGAAGCCTTGTTGGCGTGGCTGCCTCGCTGCATCCTCTTGGATGTTGTCTCTCTCTCTCTCTCGCGCTCTCGTCCCTCGGCGTAGGACGACCCAGAGGTGTTAACAAATCGCGCTGGGGAGCAATCGTCGGCGCGCGCGAGGCACAGACAACTATGGGGTGTAATATTCGGCAGACAGCCTCAGATCATATATGAGAACAGAGAATGAATAGCGGCCGCGCTCAGGGACCACCCCATGCGCACCCCCTACGGTGTCGAGAAAGTGCCACGCCTGCTATGCCCTGGACGACCGGCTCGGATAGCGGCCGCGCTCAGGGACCACCTCCTGCGCACTCCCTACGGTGTCGAGAAAGTGCCACGCCTGCTATACCCTGGACGACGGGCTCGGATAACGGCCGCGCTCAGGGACCACCTCCTGCGCACCCCCTACTGTGTCGAGAAAGTGCCACGCCTGCTTTGCCCTGGACGACTGGCTCGGATAGCGGCCGCGCTCAGGGACCACCTCTTGCGCACCCTCTACGGTGTCGAGAAAGTGCCACGCCTGCTTGCCCTGGACGACTGGTTCGGATAGCGGCCGCGCTCAGGGACCACCTCCTGCGCACCCCCTACGGTGTCGAGAAAGTGCCACGCCTGCTACGCCCTGGACGACCGGCTCGGACAGCGGTCGCGCTCAGGGGACCCACCGGTGTCGAGAATGTGCCACGCTTGCTATGCCCTGGACGACCGGCTCGGATAGCGGGCGCGCTCAGGGACCACCTCCTGCGCACCCCCTACGTTGTCGAGAAAGTGCCACGCCTGCTATGGCCCGACGACCCGCTCGGACAGCGGCCGCGCCCAGGGAACCTCCCCTGCGCACCTCCGACGGTGTCGAGAAATGGCCAGCCTGCTTGGCCTGGACGACGGCTCGAATAGCGGCCGCGCCAGGACCACCTCCTGCTCCCACCCCTTGGTATCGAGAAGTGCCACGCCGCTAGCCCTGACGAACCGGCTCGGATAGCGGCCGCGCTCAGGGACCACCTCCTGCGCACCCCCTGACGGGTCGAGAAAGTGCCCAACTCCTGCTATGCCGCTGGACGACCGGCTCGGATAGCGGCCGCGTTCAGGGACCACCTCCTGCGACCCCCTACGGTGTCGAGAAGAGCCACGCCTGCTATGCCCTTGACGAACGGCTCGGATAGCGGCCGCGCTCAAGGACCACCTCCTGCGCACCCCCTTATATGGTGTCGAGAAAGTGCCACGCCTGCTTTGCCCTGGACGACTGGCTCGGATAGCGGCCGCGCTCAGGGACCACCTCTTGCGCACCCTCTACGGTGTCGAGAAAGTGCCACGCCTGCTTTGCCCTGGACGACTGGTTCGGATAGCGGCCGCGCTCAGGGACCACCTCCTGCGCACCCCCTACGGTGTCGAGAAAGTGCCACGCCTGCTACGCCCTGGACGACCGGCTCGGACAGCGGTCGCGCTCAGGGGACCCACCGGTGTCGAGAATGTGCCACGCTTGCTATGCCCTGGACGACCGGCTCGGATAGCGGGCGCGCTCAGGGACCACCTCCTGCGCACCCCCTACGTTGTCGAGAAAGTGCCACGCCTGCTATGGCCCGGACGACCGGCTCGGACAGCGGCCGCGCCCAGGGACCACCTCCTGCGCACCTCCTACGGTGTCGAGAAAGTGCCACGCCTGCTATGGCCTGGACGACCGGCTCGAATAGCGGCCGCGCCCAGGGACCACCTCCTGCGCACCCCTTACGGTATCGAGAAAGTGCCACGCCAGCTATGCCCTGGACGACCGGCTCGGATAGCGGCCGCGCTCAGGGACCACCTCCTGCGCACCCCCTACGGTGTCGAGAAAGTGCCACGCCTGCTATGCCCTGGACGACCGGCTCGGATAGCGGGCGCGCTCAGGGACCACCTCCTGCGAACCCCCTACGGTGTCGAGAAAGTGCCACGCCTGCTATGCCCTGGACGACCGGCTCGGATAGCGGCCGCGCTCAGGGACCACCTCCTGCGCACCCCCTTACGGTGTCGAGAAAGTGCCACGCTTGCTATGCCTTGGTGCTCTGCTGTGCTGTGCCGAGCTGAGCTGTGCTGTGCTGTGCTGTGCTGAGCTGAGCTATGCTATGCTGTGCTGAGCTGAGCTGAGCTGTGCTGAGCTGTGCTGAGCAGAGCTGTGCTGTGCTGTGCTGTGCTGAGCAGTGCTGTCAGGAGGAGGGGAAGACGGAGGTGAGTGAGTGAGCGCGGGTGGGACGCGGCAGAGAAGAAAACCAGAACCCCACTAATCATGTGGGGAAAAATCAACGAATCGGCACCGGATGTGTATTAACTTGACACGTTCTGATGGGGGGCATCCTGGGGCCTCCTGGGAGCCTCCTAGGAATCTCCTCGGGACCCCTGGGGCTTATCCTGGGCGTCCTGCGGCCTCCTGAAGCTCTCTGGGGCCTGGGGCTCCCAGGGTCCCAGGGGGGATATGTA